CCTGCTGTGTTCATCCAGCCCTGCACCTTGTTGTCTCGGATCCTCCAGCATCTGCAGTTCCTACTATCTCTGATTTAGTGTAATTTGGTGTTTGTTGGTTGACATAAACATGGCAAGCTGAACATCCTGTATCTATGCTGTGTGACTCTAATGGCACAACGTTGCAGCAAAGCAGGAGCGAGGGGAGCTAGTAATAATTAAATTGTGGTTGCCAGGATACACTGGAACACCAGATACACTGGTTCTCAGTGAATTTCTAGTCTCGTTGCTGAATACATAGCAACTCGGTGTGCTCCAATTTCACTGCTACTTACCATATTTCATATACTGTTTTTTTCTCAATTATTTCCTTTCACCTCCCGCAGGGCGACCCTGTGGAGAACCATGAGAGTGAAGATTACCCCCTGGACAGCAGTCGGGGCTCAGACCTCTCCGACATCATGGAGGAGGATGAAGAAGACCTGGGATCAGACGCACAGACAAATGAAGAAGTACAACAAGATTGCAGTTTGATCAGGAGCAACTCACTAAAGGTAATTGAATCAGAGATAGTAGGAACTGATCTCAACTATTTTCAGCCTGAATTTGCTGCCCCTAGGGGAAGAAGTGGACAAAGATAATTAAGAGAACTCAGACTGAGGTCTGGAATTTGTGGTCATTATGATTAGCATATTGTTATGCATGTTTTTCTTTCATTCCATTCCTGATTTTTCTCCTCAGGCTAGAGTTAAGTCACAATGCGCACAAGAAACAATTTTATTGTCCTCATTCTTTCTGTGAGGCACTCTGTCAATTGGATAGACTTGTCCTAGCTGATCTGAGTAAAAGCAAATAGTAGCTCTCATTTATTACTCTGAAAACTGTCATATTGTCACAAATACAATGAAATATTTAGACAATACAGATTTTCTAAATTGACACAGCACACATTATATTGCATAATGGTTATTGCTCTGCAGAGGCCCTAATGTGGTGAAAATTATAATACTTCCCAAAATACAGAAATGAAAAAACGTATCCACAAGTGGATTGAGGACTTGGAAGCACAGCTTATAGAAGCCTGAATCTGAGAGAAATTGGTATTGCTTACCCGAGAGACTGCAAAAATGGTAGCATTTGCTGATTGCACAGATTGAACATGTAGGTTTGTGATGTGCAGGGTGGCAGGCTGAAGAGTAGGAACTTGCTTATTTGTTCATGTCAATATGTCAAACACAGCCTCAACAATGTTACCTCATTTCATAGGAACACAGTCCAAATACAGAGAATAGCATGGCCTTGGAGACAAATGTCCTGAGGAGAAATGTTTTATCCAAGTTTTGGCTATTCTCACAAGTGTAAATATTGCGTCTTTTGTGGCTGAGGGGAGGGCGAGGGGTTTGGGCGATGGAGGTGGAATGATGGTCCAATGGTAGCTGTAGACTTTATCCTGTGTGCTCTCAGAAAAGCCAGGATTTTTTGTGAAAGGGAATTAAACCAATAAAAAAGAGTAGGAATGAGAATAAATGAACTTAAATAGATAACGTTCTCTCAAGAAGAAGTATGAAAAACTATGAACAATCTAAATAAAATATATAAAGGGAGACCAAGATATACCAGAGACAAGAATGTGTTTGACAGTAAAATGAGACGGTGTTGTTTATCTCCAAGCAATAGGTAGATGCTTTCACATTCGAGGAATGCTGAATAGTATCACAAGGAGGGCAGCGCGGTGGCTCAGTGGTTAGCATTGTTGCCTCACAGCTCCAGGGACCCAGGTTAGATTCCACCTTTGGAAACTGTCTGTGTGGAGTTTGCATGTTCTCCTTGTGCCTGCGTAGGCTTCATCTGGGTGCTCTGGTTTCCTCCCACAGTCAAAAGATGTGCAGGCTATGTGGATTAGCCATGCTAAATTCCCTGTAGTGTCCAGGGAGGTGCAGGCTAGGTTGATTAACTGTGGGAAATTCAGGATTGCAGGGATAAGGTTGGGGGTCATTCTGGGTGAAATGCTGTTCAGAGGGTTGGTGTGGATTCGATGGGCCAAATGGCCTGCTTCCACACTTTAGGGATTCTATAATTCCGTGATTGAGTGTAACCTGATTGACGTTCCTGAATTGTAACTGATTTTCCAAACTGATTTTGAGCATTGAACTATTCAAAAAGTGCCGTTTGATAAATATGTAAAACATTTTATCATCCTTTCTCAATGGCTAAATGCATCATGTAACTGATAGTATGAACTGGAGTGCACTTCAGCAGGGCTGCAATTGATATCCTACCAGGACAGGGGTTGCTAGTGCTTTGAGGCTATTCGCACCAACGTGGCAAGAGATAAAAACCTGTGTTTCAGAAGAGACAGCAGCAAAGTTGGAAGGAGAAGGTAATAAAAGTTAAATGAATGTAGGAGGCTGAGTAAACAAAGACTCTAAAATAAACAGGAGAGTAATTGTTGAATGATTAGTGGTATTTACTTTAATTCAAGTACTCCATGAATAAAGCAGATGAACTCAGGGAAGGTGGATTCTGAGTTATTGAAACATGACTTAAAGAAAGGAAGGAATTGCAGATCAACATTCCGAGTTAGAATTTTCAGACAAGATAGAAAAAGGATTAAAGAAAGTCTGGTCACAATATTGATTAAAGGAACATTCACTGCTGTGAGGAAGGATGATATGCTAGAAGGATCATCAAGTAAACCTATATGAACTAAACTGAGAAATAAAAATAAGAAGCAGTTACACTGCTGGGAATGTACTATGCACCTTCAAACTGTCAGAACGAGATAGAAGAACAAATATAGAAATAAATTAACTGCGGTGCAGAAACACTAGAGTAGTAATCGTAAGGAGATTCAACAGTCCTGATATCAATTGGGTAAAATTTATGTTAAAGGTGTGGAAAGCACAGAATTCTTAATGTGTATTCAGGGTATATATAAATAATAAACTATTTAGCTGGCAAACTTCAAACCCAACAAGAGAAGTGGCAGCCTTGAATACTTTGAAGGAATGAAGCTTGCAAGTAGAAGGGATATCAGTGAGAGAACACTTCAGTGATCATGGGCATAATTCATTCAGATCTGCTGCAGTTATGAAAGAAAGACAAGAGGTGAAAGTTCTAAATTTCAGAAAATCTAAGCTGAGATGTGATTTGGCAAAAGTAGAATTTGAATATCTACATGTAGGTAAAACATTGTACGAGTAGTGGGATGCATCCAAAATCGTCTGAATAAATAGTTCCTGTTAAGGAAATGGATGTGCCTCTCCAATCTGAACCTCCAGATGTCAAACATCATACAGAGTATCAGAAGGCAATAAAGGCTTGCAGATGTCAGATGCCAAGAAATGAATACCACAGAAAGATGGGGTGCTTAAAAGGCGCAGAGGTGAAATTGGAAAAGAAAATTGAAGGCAAAGAAAAATAATTTAGAAAGAAAACAGTTGATGTCAAGGAAGGCTGAAATGTTTTACAAATACATGCAGAGGAAAATAGGAACAAACGAAAGAGTAAAAACCAATAAAGTAACTTCTTTGTGGTGGCAGAAGACGTGCGTGGTTCTTAATGAATGCTTTGTGACTGTTTTCGCAAAAGAGGGAGGTGAAGCAAATATTGCTGTCTTGAAGAGGAATGTGAAATATTGGCTAACATACTTCTACAGAGGGAGAAAACATCAAACGGATTTTGCATCCTTGAAATTGGAAAAATCACTAGGCCCAGAGGAAACATATTCTAGGCCGCTTGAGTAAGGGAAGAAATTGCAGAGCCTTTAATAGTTTTCCATTTGTTCCATGTTAGGAGAGGTAAAAGTACTGTAATAAGATGACTGATATTATATCATTGTTTAAAAAAGGAGGAAAAGATAACTTGGAAAATTATAAGCCAGTCTGCCTTACCTTGGTTGTGTACAAATTATTGGAAAATATTCTGAGACAGCCTAAATCATTCATTGAAAAGAAATGGAATGATAACAAATCCATCAGGAAGGCTGACGTTTCGGGCCTAGACCCTTCATCAGAAATGGGGGAGGGGAAGGGAGTTCTGAAATAAATAGGGAGAGAGGGGAGGCGGATAGAAGATGGATAGAGGAGAAAATAGGTGGAGAGGAAACAGACAGGTCAAAGAGGCGGGGATGGAGCCAGTAAAGGTGAGTGTAGGTGGGGAGGTAGGGAGGAGATAGGTCAGTCTAGGGAGGATGGACAGGTCAAGGGGGCGGGATGAAGATAGTAGGTAGGAAATGGGGGTGCGGCTTGAGGTGGGAGGAAGGGATAGGTGGGAGGAAGAACAGGTTAGGGAGGCGGGGACGAGCTCATGTTTCCTCTCCACCTATCTTCTCCTCTATCCATCTTCTATCTGCCTCCTCCTCTCTCCCTATTTATTTCAGAACCCCCTTCCCCTCCCCATTTCTGATGAAGGGTCTAGGCCCGAAACGTCAGCCTTCCTGCTCCTATGATGCTGCTTGGCCTGCTGTGTTCATCCATCTCTACACCTTGTTTTCTCAGATTTTCCAGCATCTGCAGTTCCTACTATCTCTGATAACAAATCCATGCTGGTTTCCTTTAAAAGAAGGCCCTGTCCTTCTAAACTGATTGAATATGTTGAGGAGGTGACAAGGAGCATGGATGAAGATAACACATTTGATCTAGTTTGTATGAGTATTATCAAGGCATTTGGCAGGGTACCCCATGGCAAACTGATCAAAAATTTTAAAAAGTGGATTCCAGGGGAAAGTAGCAAGTTGGATCCAAAATTTGCTCAATGATCTAAGGAAAAGGATCACATGGGTAGTTAATTTTGAGACCGGAAGGTCATTCCACTATATTTCACAAGGCTGAATTCTTTACTTTTTTTTTAATCATATATCAATGATTTAGATTTAAATGCAGGGAAAAAAATTACAAAGTTTCCAGAAGACACAACAGTTGGCCCTGTGGTTAATAGTGTGGAAGAATGTTGTAAGCTGCAAGCAGATATCAGTAGTCTGGACAGGTAGGCAGAAAAATGGGAAATGAATTGAGTTTGGAAAGTGTGGTATTGCATCTGAGGAGGGCAAAGATAAATGGGTGGGTACTGAGAAATATATCCAGCTGGACCTTGGAGTGCATATCCACAGATCCCTGAAGGTAGCAGCATAGGTAGTTGATATGGTTAAGAAGGCATTTATGATAATTTTCTAAGAGCAGAGAGTTTTTGCTAGAACTTATAAAGCATTAATTTGACTGCAGCTAAGAGTACTGCATGCAGTTTTAATCACCATTTTTATTTTTGGAGCAGAAGATACTAAAGAAAGACTTATTTGAGTTGCACAAGATTAGAAAGGGGCTAGATAGGGTGAGTAGAAAAAACTAATTTCCTTTCACAGAAAAGTCAATAATAGGGAGTATAGATTCCTTGTAATTGATGGAAGAATTAGGAAGGAATTGAGGAGAATTATATTCCCCCACTGTGTGGTGTCAGTTTTGAATTCATAGCCTGAAAGGATGTTAGAGATAGAAACTCTTCAAAAAACACTTGGTGCAGTTAAAGTGTCAGAACTACGGTGCTATGGATAAAGAGCTGGAAAACAGCATTAGGTAAGATGACTATTTTTATGGCAAGCATGGACGCAATAGGTGAAATATCCTCCTTCCTGGGGATAAATCTTATGTGGCTTAGTTAAGAAAGTTACCTCAGAGTACAATGCGGCCTTGATCAGATGGGCCAATGGGCCAAGGAGTGGCAGTTGGAATTTAGTTTAGATAAATCTGTGGTGCTGCGTTTGGAGAGGCAAATCAGGGCAGGACTTATACACTTAATGGTAATGGTAAGGTCTTGGAGACTGTTCTTGAACAAAGAAACCTTGGAGTGCAGGTTCGTGTTTCCTTGAAAGTGAAGTCGCTTGTAGACAGGGTAGTGAAGAAGGCATTTGGTATGCTTGCCTTTATTGGTGAGTGCATTGAGTACAGGAGTTGGGAGGTCATGTTGTGGCTGTACAGGACATTGGTTAGACCACTTTTGGAATACTATGTGCAATTCTGCTCTCCCTGCTATTGGAAGAATGTTGTGAAACTAGAAAGGGTTCAGAAAAGATTTACGAGGATGTTGCCAGGGTTGGAGGGTTTGAGCTATAGGGAAAGGCTGAATAGGCTGGGGCTATTTTCCCTGGAGCATCGGAGGTTGAGGAGTGATCTTATAGAGGTTTATAAAATCATGAGGGGCATGGATAGGGGAAATAGACAAGGTCTTTCCTCGGGATAGGATGTCCTAAACTAGAGGGCATAGATTTAAGGTGAGAGGGGAAAGATTTAAAAGGGAATTAAGCAGCAACTTTTTCACACAGAGGGTGGTGCGTGCGTGGAATGAGCTGCCAGAGGAAGTGGTGGAGGCTGCGACAAATACAACATTTAAAAGGCACCTGGATGGGTTAATGAATAAGAAGGGTTTAGAGAGAAATGGCCAAATGCTGGAAAATGGGACCAGACTTATTTAGGATATCTGGTGAATATGGACGAGTTGGACCGAAGGGTCTGTTTCTGTGCTCTACATCTCTATGACTTTCAGTGAGGAAGTCTTAAGTTCCATTTGCTTGTGCATACTGTTTCTTTTCAACAGTTAAATTCCTCAAGCCACTCAGTTCAAACTCAGCCTGATTCAAAATGCTATCAAATGACTCATGCTGAAAATTGTGAGTGGAAAATTGTTGGGTGGTAGGAGGTCGAAACTAAATTGATGCACAGTGGGAGGAAATCCCACCCTTCGGAGGGGCTGTCTGATCAGTTTGGCTGGATGCTCTAGCAGTCCCAGCAGTGTCAGAGATCAATAATGGGTGGTGTTGGGACTTCAGGCAGGCCACGAGGGAGACCTAGTGGAATCCAGAGTGAAGTAAGCCAGGTAGCTTTGGGCAGACTTCTTGTTGAAACCTTGTAGAGGGAGGGCTAATGGACTAGGGGATGATTTTCAAACTACTTGCAGGTAGGAAGGAAGCAGGAGCTATCTTTTTTGGGGGTGGTTCCTCTATTGGATAAAGGGTATCTCTGAACATAATGCACCTTTCCTTCACTCTGTTTGAAACACGAGAAAATAATCCTTCTGAATGCCCATGCCAACCATTTTCTGACGTAGACAGCATAAAATTGGCATCAATTGAGCTGTAAGCGAGCTTGATCGATACTTAGTTATTTAAATATGATGGGCAGGCTGCTGATTTTGGGTTGGGTGCTGATATTGGGGGTAGGTCTAAGGTGGTTGGCTAGCCACCCCACCTATATAATATTCTCCTTGGCTAAAACACACCCAGCAGAAGCATGTAATGTCCAACTCAGGGTCAATAGCAGCTGAAGCTTTCCTGTGAGACTGAAGTAGCTACTTTCTGTGTAGGTTTGCAGATGATGAATAGCTTGGATATTGGAGAGTCGTCACACCCCAGCATGGACCAGCATCTGTAGGAATGGAAGGCAAGAAAGAAACTTGTTCTTAACTGGATTCATATCAGAGCAGGACTTCTGTGCCTTCTTTTTATCATATGAATGGGATGTTACAGCTCCCCATCTGTTTGAGTGTTGAAGCAAATGTGCTGGGCAGTAAGAATAGTGAGCAACCAATTTGAAAGAGGTTGGATGTGAAATGATGCGTACCCATGTTAATATACCCCAGCTTGAGTAAACCCACTCACTGCCAGAAGTGTCCTCAGCCCAACCATCTTCAATTGCTTCACAAATGATCTTCCATCCGTCATAAGGTCAGAAGTGTGGATGTTTGGCACCATTTGCAACTCCTCAGATACTGAAGCAGTCCATGTGCAAATGCAGCAAGATCTGGACAATATCCAGGTTTGGCCTAACAAGTGGAAAGTAACAGTCACTCCAAAGGAATGCCAGGCAATGACTATCTCAAATAAGAGTCAATCTAACCACTATCCCTTGACATTCATTGGTGTTATCATCACTGAATCCCCTGTAACAGTCAACATCCTTGGGGTTACCATTGGCCAGAAACTGAACTGGTCATGAAAAATTTAGTAACTACAAGAGCAGATCAGAGGCTAGGACTACTGTGGTGATTACTCACCTCCTGTCTACCCAAAGCCTGTGCTCCATCTACAAGGTACAAGTCAGGAGTGTGATGGAATAATCCCCACTGGCTTGGATCGGTGCAGCTCCAACAACACTTAAGAAGCTTGACACCATCTAGGACAAAGCAGCCAGCTAGACTGGTACCACATTACAAGCATCCTCTCCCTCCAAAACCGACGCTCTGTAGTAGCAGTGTATGCTATCTACTAGATGCACTGCAAAAATTCACCAAAGATCCACTTTCCAAACCCACAACCACTTCCATCTTGAAGAACAAGGACAGCAGATCCATGGGAACACCAGCACCTTCAAGTTCCCCTCCAAGCCACTCACCATTCCAATTTGGAAATATATTGCCGTTCCTTCACTGTTGCTGGGTCAAAATCTTGGAATTCCCTCCTTAAGGGCATTGTGAGTCTACCTACAGCACATGATCTACAACGGTTCAAGAAAGCAGCTCACCACCACCTTCTCAAGGGTGACTAGGGACGAACAATAAATGCTGGCCTGCCAGTGTTGCCGTCGTGCCACAAGTGAATTAAAAAAATTGAAGAGCCAATTCTAAATTTAAATTCTGTGAATGGTACCTTTAAGGAACCAAGTTAACAGCCATAAACAATTGGCATTAAGTTGCTCAGTCAGTAAAATAGTCATCATGAGAATACCTTAGCTCAGAAACTCATCATATTACCAGTAGGAGTTGGTCTTTCTTGATTCCTGAAATGTATGGGTAACACTGTTGACATGACATGACAAAATGTATGCGCTGGAGATGGCAGAAGGAGAAACAGCGCACTGTTCTGCAGATTGCATGATTTGTCTTTATTAATGCAATTTGAACCTACAAATTGTTATTGAGTGGAGCCAACTCGCGATGCAAGTATCTTCACGATAAGAGTACAAGTGTCTTTACATATATCTTAACTGTGCAAGGCCATTAATGAATTCAGAAGCATTAACTAATGTCCTGCTGAAGATGTTTGCAATCAATTCCGTGCAGTGAAACCTATGCTAATGGGTCACCTTTGGCAACCATTGTTATAAATTGCATTCTAGAGTTAATTCAGTGCCGTTAAACTTCGGAATCTTTTGACAATATTCCAGAAAAGATCTGGAAAGAGGAGGTAGTATAAATGTTTGAAATAAAATGATCAGAAACAGCATCTAGTGAAAACACTTATTGCATTGATTTTGTGTGCTCATGGAGTGTAAATGTAAATGCTTAGCTCATCCTAATAACAATACCTCACGCCTTGCTGTATAAATACTGGAAGCTAGATAGAAGCATGTATGCTTTGACCTATTTGATGCCTGAATGTACTGAGTAAAACAAAAATGAAACAATTCACTGCTTGGATTCTCTTCAACTTAGGCAAATGTATTATGATGTGAAATATAACATCCAAAGTAACTCTATTTGCGAATCTTATCTGTGGAAAGTTTTCTAATTTTTTTTGATGAGACAAGCACACATCATTAGCAATTTATTTTACCTTCAACACCATTGTCAGAAATCAGGTTCTGGGAATCACTTATTGCTAATGTGGTTACGGTATCACGTTTCACTGAGATGAGTGTTTCAAGTTTTTTTTTGTATTTGAAGCTTTTTCTCATATTGTGGATTTCTGTTGCTTTATTGTGCTTTGAGTTGATCTTGTTTCAATTTTCACTTCACTTTTTTTTCTTTCTTTCTCCCACCCCCACCCTGTCCTTGCATGCACTCAACCACTGTACATGTTAAACCATATCGCAGCAACCTGAGCAGTATGAAACTGATAGCGATGAGGAGTTTCTGGAGAAAATTCTAGAGCTTCCTCTGCAGAAACGTTACAGTAAGAAACTATTCAGCATTCCTGAAGTAACAGAGGAAGAGGAGGAGGAGGAAGAGAAGGAGGAGGAGGAAGAGAAGGAGAAGGACCTAGAGATGGTCTGTAACAGCTGCCAGCGTGGTCCCAGAAGCCAAGAAGAAGAAAAAGCCTCTGTTCATTCCCAGGAAAAAGAACAATCAGAGGAACAGGATCAACTCTTTGAATGTGTACAGAGCACTTCTGAAAACCGCAGAGATACCAAAAATCAAGAATTGGAAGAGAAACCAGCCCCTGATATCAGTCAGGATATCAACAAAAATGGAGCTCAGGAAGTTGTGGGTCCTACTATTCCACAGAATGAGCTGAAAGCTAAGGATTTGGAAGAGGTGTCAATATCTGACAGTATCTCTGATCAGAGCAATAAGCAGGAGCCAGATGAGAAGCAACCTCTCTACACAAAGACTAATGTCAAAAACAAAGAATGGAGTGAAGAGGCAAGTGGGTGTGCATGTCATAGTGCTGAGATTCATCATATATACCCTCAAAAATATAATAGGTCCCACCAAGAGGAAGAGACCACAGTAGAATATGTGCAGGACAACACTGTTGTTGACTCTGAACTAGATGTTACTGAATGTTTGGCGAAATCACAACCAGAGGAGGATGACAGGAATGTTTTAGAGCCAGATGTCGTTGACCTACCATCTATCTTAAAGATGCAATCTCAGACATGGATGAGGTCCACAGATCCCAGAGAGGTGAATGCAGCAGGAACTGGGAATCCAAATTACAACAGGAGACAGCAGATATCTCACGAAAATCTAGAGATAGATATAGAATATGGCACTGAGGAGGAAGAAGAAATAGTGACATCCAGCTTGCACTTCTGCCCTCATGTTATTCATCCGGATCAAATGCGATCAAGTTGGTGGTACTGCAGCAAGACTAACAGAGAAAATGCAAGTGAGTGTTCAACGTTGTGTGAGTTCATGCAGTCAAATGAACAGAGGCAGGCCTGTGACAAAGGCATTATTTTTGATTCAAACACCAGCAGCACCAAGTCTCCCCATCATCATAAGAAAAAGAATAAGTTTGTTTCCCCCAGGAGACTGCAACATTGCGAACGAAGCAAGCTAAAAGGAAGGATGGCAGAGGAGGCTTGGAACATGGAGCCTGATGAATTGGGAAGGACAGGAGCAAGGCCTGAGGATTCAGCATGTTCACGGGTGTGTGTTTATCTCACTGGTCACCTACACCATCCTTTCCTTAGTTCTATTATTTGTAGTTGTCAGTTTGTCTCATTGCTTGGTGTGTTTCCTGCTGTGTGCCAGTTATACACATCACCTTCAGATAGTTGTTTGATAGTACAGAACTTGTGTATAACTGAAAAAAAGAAAGATTTTGTTCAAGCTTTTCCTCTTGCACCCATCAGGACAATTTGCAAGAAATGCCTAAGTAGAGGGGACATTTCAAGGGTGCTGATTGGTTGGCAAGTAGATTCTGATTGGTAGAGGCATTGCCATAAAAAATGTACCAGTTAATGATAATGGCCGTTAACTGCCGAACACTGTTCAAATTTTAAACAAGACAGGTTGCCACTGATTGGAAAAGGTATTGTATGAGAAATTAACCAGAGAATGGTTATCACCCATTATAATAAATTAAAGTAAGTGTGCAATGTGTGTGTAAGTGTTTTTTTTCTAGAAATAACAGGGATCTGTGTAGTAATATGTGTCACTTCCAGTACACATTGGCTATGCCACACTGTAAGCCAACTGCTAATTCTCTCATCTTGTACAGTATAAATCCTTTGGTGTTCCTTGTGAACTGTGCTGATGAATTTGAGACAGAAAGCTCTGGCAAAATGTATTTTCTCAGCAATAAATCACCTCATTTCTGGTAGATATTCTGAAGCCACAGCCCATGCTTTCCTAGCATCAATGACTTGCAGAAAGCTCATATCCAACTAAACTAAAATTGAACCTATCTTTCAGGCTGTCAATGTTACGACAATTATTAACCATTAGAGGGTTATTGCTCTCGTATTGTTGGATAGTCAACTACAATTACAACTGCAGTTGGGAATTCAGAGCTTCAAGGCATCCATGATGTTGATGCTAGATTTATGCTAGGACACCATGGTGGTGATGCAAAGCAGAGTTTCACGAGGATTTCACAAACATTTTATTGTCATTTTTGAACTGTTAATTGCCCAGTACCACAGTTATTGGTTCTTCCTTACAAATCCAGTTTATGCCTCAAGACAACATTTTGAAGTTGTACAACAATAGGATGAAGTGCAGTTTGTTGCAGGTCTCTAGATGGAGATGGGAGTAATTTGATAGAGGAATTAAGGAAGATGTAAATGATGTATAATGGCATAACAAAATTTTAACTCTAATGTACTAAACCAACCTAGTGACAATCCCGCTTGAGCCTGTTGTAGTGATTTAGAGTTGAGTGATCCTATAACTACTGGTTTGAATTCAGTGTAGCTGGTGAAATAAGAAATCCAAACGTGTGCTGTTCAGTATTTAATTTCTTAATTTAAGATTTTTTAAAAATGATCTTTTCCCATTCTGGGATTCTGCCTTATTATCCTTTCAAACAGCTCCTGGGTAATCCTACAGAGGTGGGTGACAACCACCTCCAGGAGATTCGTGCTGTGATTTGTTTCTGTCTTTGGGAGTGCATGATCTTGTGAAGATGTGACTGGAACTAGATATAGTGAATGTATGACGTGTTCTGAAGGGCTGCAAAACATTGCAATAGTCCAAAACTCAATCTCAAGATTGATTGGATCTGTGAATGTGAGCACGTATGTTATCAGCAGAAGGACAGGTTGAAATAATTATATTAAGTACCTTACCAAAAAGAATATATACAGTACAGTAATATCATGGAATACAAGAAACACACTGCATTTATTTTGAGATTTCTGTGAAATACTGGATACATAAAATATACTCCCATTCAAAATCAACTGATTTTCAGTTCAATTGTTTACTTAGAGAGAACTAGATTGATATCTGCGAAGCATAGAAACATAGAGATATGGAACAGAAGTCAACTACTCTTTGAGTCTGCTGTGCCATTCAATTCATTAGGCTGATATTACAACTCAGCACTCTGTTCCCACTTTCGCCCATGCCCTTTGATCCCTTTAGCCCTAAGAACATATATATATCTCTCGAAAAACTTGAATGTTTTGGCCTCAACCACTTTCAGTGGAAGAGAATAATTCAGGTTAGGCAATGAGCATAATAATAGCACTCTGATTTACTTTTCCTCAGAAGGTTGTGAAAGAAGCTTAAACATTGAGGTAGTTCATATGAGAATAAAAGTCTGAATGGAAGAGAATCACTGGTCAAATTAGTCTTTCATTTCTGTGGACTCTAATGAGAGAGATTGTAGTGTGCTGGTAAAGTCATTGGATTCGGAATCTAGAATCAAGGCTAATGCTCTGGGAATATAGGTTCAAATCCTACTATGAAATTATAATTTTGGAATTAAAAACTAATCTCTGTGAAGGTGACCATGGATCTGTCATAAACTGTTGTAAGAATCCATCATTATGGAAAGAAATCTGCTGTCCTTACTCAGTCTGACCAATATGTGAGCACGCAGTGTTCATTTCACAATTCTAGATTGAGAATCAGTGTCATGCAGCACTCACTCAAATCCCTAGTGCCCTGTAGGGAGCAACACACAAATTGCATTAATTTACAGGGCAAAGTATCGTGAAGATAAAACAATCTAGCTCATGTTTGACACTGTTCATTGCCTTGCCAATGTAATCTTTGGGCTATAAAAGTAGATCAGCAGGATCTGGCTATAGACTGGGTCCATTGTAGACCAGAAACTGCAATGTCCCAGGAATTGTAAAATGCTCAGGCCTTCTTAAAGAAGAACCCTAAAGTCTATTGTACAGAAATGAAGAATAAATGGCTTGTCATGGATTACTATGTAACATGTTCTATGCACTTTACAGCTGATATCTGGATTCTATAAAAAATTATTTTAAGTACTGAATGTCAAAGACAGGCTAATTGAGCTGGCTGTAATAAATATGAAAATCCATTCCTAATTCACAAACACAGTTAATTTATGGGCCATTTTCCATTCAGAAGCTATCATCTGCACAAGGTCTTATGCCAGCAGATGGACGATCTGAGTGAAATGTGTATTTCTGTGAAGCCATTGCTGCTACTAGTTTATGCATTGAGCCTTACTAAGACCGAATGGCAACCCCAATCTAGTCATTGGAATGAGGGCCAAGTAGATCTCATTGACTGAGATCCTTGATTGAGTCTGTTAACCTGGACCAGTCAGGGAGCCCTGGCTGACTGATATAAACAGAATATTCAGAGATTGTCCTCACTGTAGGGACTGGCTGTGAGCTAACTGGTCAGAGTCCATGTACTGTCCACGTGTGAAGGGTGACTTGGTGACAGGATACCAGCCTCCGTGCAGTCATTTCAGTGATTAAGGTTTTTGCAAAGATTTGTAGCTCAGGTTGTGGGTGAGGTTGTTGACTTGCTCGCCGAGCTGGCTGGTTATCGTGCAGACGTTTCATCACCAACATCATCAGTTCGGCCTCCGATGAAGCGATGTTGTTCTACTCCACTTGGAATTTATAGGATCCGGTCTGTTAAGTCGGGTTGTGTCATTTCCAATTCCATTCTACATGATTCCACATGTTTGTTGATTGCATTACAGGTTGAAAACCAGGCCGCTAGGAATTCCCGTGCGTGCTTGTGGTTGGCTTGAGCTAGGATGGTCATGTGGTCCCAGTTAAATTGATGGCCTTCATTGTCCAAGTGCATTGAGATGAAGGAAGGTTCGTAGTCTCGTTTTGCTGCTAGCTGGTGCTCGTGTATCCTGATGGATAGTTTCCTTCCAGTCTGGCCGATGTAATGTTTGTTGCAGTCATTGCAAGGTATTTTGTAAACTACATTGGTCCTGCGTGTCATGGGTATGGGGTCTTTGGTCCTTGTGAGTGTTTGTCGTAGTGTGGCTGTGGGTTTCCTAATGGTCACAGCAGTCTCATTGTCAGTTCAGATATGTTCTTGATATAAAGTATTGTGGCCAGTGTGTTAGGCCATACTGTGTCCTCTTGCTGTTGTCTATCTAGTAGGCACCTGCAGATGAAATTGTTGAGTTAGCCTTCTGACTGCTTGCAGATCTACTGCATTTTCATGTATTGGGAGCTTAACTTTCCCTGAGGCACCAAAAACTAAAACCTTTCAAGAGTTGTTGGATTAATTTAAGGAATATTATGAGCCTAAGCCTCCTCTAATCCTGAGATGCTATCGATTTTATTCAGCAGTTTGAGACCAGAGGAATCTGTATTAGGATTTCTGAGAATGTTGAGATGATTGGCAGAGATATGTGATTTTGGGTTAACCCTGAATGAGATGCTGAGAGACTGTTTGGTATGTGGGAATAATGACGTAAGCAGGCAAAAGCGCCTACTAGCTGAAGCCCAACTGGACTTCAAACAGGCTCCACAACTGGCTTTGTCATTAGAAAATACAGCAAATGGAGCATGCGAGCTATAGGGCATCCCAATGGAATGGATACCGTCACCTGTCCGACTGAGCTTGGGGAACACCACTTGAGTATAGGCAATCACAGAGCCTCATGCTGGCCATATCCTGAACGGAGGGATCCAAGGTCAGTACATAGCAAAACCCTAAAACAAAGCTGAGCCTCGGCCAAATGGCTAAAATATTCTTCAGGATCTATTGTAAAGCTATTGTAGTTGCTGCCGGTATGCGGATTCAACACAGCAAAGGAGTCCAACAAAGTCTGATTTGAGTAAGAGAACTCATAGGTCAATATCCAGGAGAGTATACACCCTGGAAAGTCCACCTATATGTAGTTTGGAACAGTTAAATTGCTTAGCAACATCCAAATCAGAACCAATGAAAATTAAATCAGAGATAGTAATTTCTGAAGAAGGGTCTAGCCCGAAACGTCAGCTTTCCTGCTCCTCTGATGCTGCTTGGCCTGCTGTGTTCATCCAGCTCTATACCTTGTTATCTCAATCAAAATTAAAGTTTGGTTAATTGGTCACCCAGCTCTCATGGATGTTGATACCAGCAGAGTTATATCAGTGATTGCAGAACCAGTCTTTAATAAGATTTGCTTTAGATTCCAACTGTTAAGTTTGTGCAAGACCTCAGCCAGACCGAGAACATATACTGAGGAATGGTTACAGATTGTTTATATAAATGACATTGGATGAGAATATAGAAGGAACGGTTAGTAAGTTTGTGGATGACACCAAAATCGGTGGCATAATAGACAGTGAAGAATGTTTTCTAAGATTACAGAGGGATCTTGACGAAATGGGTCCATGGGCTGAAAAATGGCAGATGGAGCTCAATCTGGATGAATGCGAGGTATTGCATTTTGGTGCAACAAACAAGAGTAGGGCTTATATAATTAAAAGTAGGGCCTTGGGTAGTGTCGTGGAACGGAGGGACCTAGGGGTTTAGGTACACAATTCTTTTAAGTTTGTCACATATAGACAGGATGGTAAAGGCATTTGGCACGTTTGCCTTCATTGCTCAGTTTTTTGAGTATAGGAGTTGGGAAGTCATGTTGAGGTTATATGGGACATTGGTGAGGCCTCTTCTGGAATACTGTATTCATTTTTGTTCTCCCAGTTATAGGAAGGATATTATTAAGCTGGAGAGGGTTCAGAAGAGATTTATCAGGATGTTGCTGGGTATAGAAAGTTTGAGTTATAAAGAAAGGCTGGATAGGCTGGGTCTTTTTTCACTAGAGCGTAGGATGTTGAGAGGCGACCTGATAGAAGTTTATGAAATAATGAGGGGTATTGATAGAGTTAATAGTAGTTGTCTTTTCCCTAGAATGGGGGATTTCAAGTCTAGGGGCCACATTTTTAAGCTGAGAGGAGCAAGATTTAAAAAAGACATGAAGGGCAGATTTTTTACGCAGTGGATGGTTCGCATGTGGAATGAACTTCGTGAGGAAGTGGTAGGTGTGGCTACAATTATAACGTTTAAAAGACTTTTGGATAAGTGCATGAATAGGAAAGGTTTGGAGGGATATGGGTCAGGAGCAGGCAGGTGGGACTAGTTTAGTTTGGAGTGATGGTTGGCTTGGACTGGTTGGACCGAAGGGTCTGTTTCTGTGCTGTATGACTGTATGACTCTATGAGGGTACAACATTGGTTCCAGTCTCTTAAGAGAAGCATTTGGTGCAGTTGCCAATGATTGTAGTAAAAGGCTCATGCCCAAGCTTGATGGGGCAGAATTGGTTGAGAATTGTTTGACCTTGATTGACCAAATACTTTTCGTTTAGAAAATGGCTGCCTGAGTGAAGTCCTAATTAAATACCCAGGAGTTTTTCAGGAAGGTCTAGGAACATCAAAGGAGCCAACACCACCTTGCATGTTGTCCAGGAAGCAATCACACAATTCTGCAAGGCCTGCCCAGTGCCATTTGCCTTGCGGGCAGAAGTGGAAGCAGAAATCAGGAGACTGGAAAGTGAAGAAATCATCAAACCTGTGCAGTTAGCAAAATGGGCAGCACCAGTCATACCGATTATGAAGCCTGATGGTTCGGTTTGCCTTTGTGGGGATTTTAAGCAAATGGTAAACCACTTCACACAATTGGATAAATACCCAATCCCTTGCATAGAGGATTTACACACAAACCTGGCAGGGGGCTGTCCTTCATGAAGCCCGACATGAGCCATGCATACCTGCCATTGCAACTAGTTAAGGGGTGCTAGAGGTATTCCTCAATTAATAGCCATAAGGGTTTAGACCAATATACAAGACTGCCATTTGGGGTATCATCAGTCTGCACCATTTTCCAGTGAATGATGGAGAACATTTTACACTGGCTACCCCAGGTTGCCATTTATTTGGATTACATACTAATAATAGACAAGACCAATAAAGAGCACTTGGAGAACTTGGACATACTGGTTAAATGTTTCCCAAGTCCGGCGTATGCCTTAGAAGGAAATAAATGTGTGTTCCAGGCACCTCAACTGGCTACAGTGTCAACAAGACCACGTTACATCTGTTGGCAGATAAAGTGAGGGCAATCAAAGATGCCCCAGCTGCCCTGGAGCTTAGATCTTTCTTTGGGTTGGTGAATTATTATGGAAAATTCATACGTAACCTGGTCTCCATCCCGGTGCCCTTACACCTGCTATTGAGGAAAGGATCAGCCTTACAAATGAACAAGAAGTAGCCTTTAGGGAAGTGAAAAATTACCTAAGATTTTGGCCCACCACAATCCCAAGTGAGTGGTGTCACTGGCATGTGATGCCTCCCTGTATGGCATTGGGGTAGCGTTGGCCCAGTGGATAGGAATGCCTGAACGCATATGCTTCCTGGACTTCGGCTGTTGTCAAACACAAATATGCCCAGATAAAGAAGGAAGGTTTGGCGGTCATCTTGAGAGTGAGAGCATTCCACCAGTACTTTACAGACGTAAATTTGTAATAGTAAGTAACAAGTGTTTATGGGTTTCAATTCAGATGCATAACTTTCACATTTATTCAAATACCCCACCACTGTGTAACAGAGCTGAATGTGTAGCTTTTAGCGATGAATGTGATGTAGGGTCTGTTTCTATGCTGTATGACTCTATGACTTTATATCAGATTTATAAACCACTCATTGAGAGGAGGAGTGACCTATGATCATAAGGAAAAATGAACATACAGGAATTATGATCATGATCTAGGTTGACATACCAGCCTCTTGTTACAATTAAGGTACATCTAGTCTCAGGACAATGGCAGGAGCAAGAAGGGTTAACTTTTCCATGTGTTCCTTATTGAAAGCTCTGCAGATCCAGAACTAGAATATTTTTGCAGTCTGTCATTCATTCTTGTTTAGCCTGTGCTCTTCTAACATTTGCTGTCCTCATTGGGAGAAAAAGAGTGCCCATTGAACTCAATTTTTGAACGAGATCACCATTCTACTGTTATGTAACTTAGAAAGGATGTGTAAATATTGAACTGCGTTTTCAAATGACTACTGGGGAGAGAAAATTCTACCAGAAATGCACACCACCTCAGCTCTCTCTAGGATATAACCACCCAACCCCAACAAGCACAGTGCTTGTCAGTTATGTCGCACTGTGTAGTAAGGTAGTGCTTTCACTTGTCAGCATTGAAAGTTCAGTATATAAATGAGGAGCATGATAGGCCTTACACTAAAGATAACAAATGTTTACAGCGAGCAGTCATTCTGTGTAGAATCAATTCATAAACTGTCACAGGCTACTGAGTTTGCTGGTGTGAGAGAGATCTGCAGGCAACAGTGCGTGAGAGATTACAGTGGGTCTGCTGGTATGTACAGTACTGATGAATTAGGTGGCACTGTATATGTGGAATTGGAGTGAGGGTACAGGATATGTGATACAGATGAGATTGCTAGAGGAGTGCAGCCAGTGTGCAAACGAATAGGATGAATTTACTGGTGTGCAAAACTGGTGTTTGAAGATAACGTAAAACCTGGCTGAGTTGCATATATGCTACAATCTAATATATCTCAGATCCTCTTGCTTCGATCTTCCTGTGTTGTCTGTTTTTCAGGGTTTTGCAATAAACACAGATTCAGTATCACATGGTCTACCTGATTCGCCTGCAGTACGAGGTGTACATCTCAAGAATAGCCCATCTCTCAAGGTTCGCAGAGGAGAACTGTCCTCTTCTAAAGGTCAGTATCAACACTCCTCAACTGCAGCAGCTTCCATGACGTCAAAATTAAACAGAAAATCACCAGCATTGCAGTTTATTTCTTACCCAAAGTAATATTTGCTGCTGCCATAGTTCGTGGAGATGTTTTTTGTGTGGACCTGAAACCAAATATCAACATTTCAGTTATCATGCTAATTAAATCCAGTCCAGCATTAGCTCCCCACAATTGCACACTTGCTCAATCATTACATGATCGGAATTTAATGAAATGCAGCAATGAATATAAAATCAGGATATAATATGAACTTGTATAAAGCCTTAGTATGCTGACCAAAGATAAGTATTGTGTGCAGCTTTAGGATCCACAATTGTATGACGGATGCATCACAGATTTAATAAACATTAAAAGACTGCCGATACTGGAAATTTGAAATAAAGTCAGAAAATGGTGGAAAATTCAGCAAGTTTGACAGCATTGGTGTGGCAAGAAATAACAGTTAGCAATTCAAGTCTGGGGTATTTATTCTGATGAAAAGATGCATACTTGAAATATTAACTGTTTCTCTCTCCACAAGTGCTGTACCAGTTGAATAATTCCATCATCTTCTGTTTTTATTTCACTGAGATGCTTTCTGATATGACGAAATACAAATGCAAAGTGCTACTTCAAATGAAATAGTCCTTTTATTTGATGGAATAGAGGAGATTTGTAAAGATGTTTAAGTTAAAAACAGGTGGCATGTGTAGATATAACAAATTACTTTTGTTACTTTATTTGGTCTTGGGAGAGGCTGTAGCCACGGTCCATTTTTATTTATCCTGCGCAAATAGTGGTAGGTGTACTCTTTGGGACTCTGCAGTCCTCTGCTTGGGAATTCTAAGATATTGCTTTGTAACAGTGGTGGAAAGTCACCATAGTGTCATAGAGTCATACAGCATGGAAGCAGACCCTTTGGTCCAACCAGTCTGTGCCAAACATAATCCCAAACTAAACTAGCTCCACCTGCTTGCTCTTGGCCCATATCTTTCCTGTCCTTTCCTAGTCATGTACTTAAATAAGTGTATTTTAAAGTGAAGTTAAAGTCACAAAAGTCTGAGAGACTGTTCCCTTCTAGAGGGAGAGAGAGAAGACTGGTGGTGAGTTTCACCTGATGGCTACCACCATATATTACATGAGTGACAAGGTTAATAAAGCCTTTCTGGTGACCTCAGGGATCATCATCTGAGTGAACTCAGCCAGTGCGGGAATCGAACCCATGCTGTTGGCATCACTCTGCACCACAAACCAGATATCCAGGCAACTGACCCCCATTGAATGACAACATACATCCAAGTCAAGATGCAGTAGCTTGATTCTTATTGTAAATAACTAGGATTTGATATCTCTCGTATTTAGAAAAGTAACAATTACTGGTCTCTACTGTAACTGTGTGTACATGCCCGAAATATTGCTTGCTATAGATACATTGCTCAATGTGTTTTCAGTCTGACTGTCAAAGTAATGTGAATTAACCTGATATTCATCAATTGATCTTTTGATTTCAGCTTCATTAGTAGACAGTTCTCGAAGTCGAGAGACTCCAATCTTGGACGGATATGAGGACAGAAGCACAAAGGGAGCAGTAGATAGTGGTCTTGTTCGCATTTTTGTGGCTCTGTTCGATTATGAACCTGCGACAATGTCACCAAATCCAGATGCTGCAGAAGAGGAGCTGGCATTTAGAGAGGGTCAGATCCTAAAGGTGAGAGTGCAGTGTCCATAATATGTTTGAAAGACTGTAGTCCTGAGGAAGAAAGGCTGCAATGTCTAATTAAATGTGGGAGAGTATATAGACCTGTTGTTTAGAGCTTAACAACCAATCTGACTGCAGCGAGTATTTCATTAGTGATGAGTAGGATCCTGGTTGATATACCCTGACAAGGCAAGCAGCTTTTTATATGAGGGACGTTCCTCTGAATGCATTTTTCTAAGTGTCAATGGTAGCCCTAATGTGGAGGTGCTGGCATTGGACTGGGTTGGAAAAAGTTAGAAGTCATACGACACCAGGTTATAGTCCAACAGGTTAATTTGAAATCACAAGCTTTCAGAGCACAGCCCCTTTGTCAGGAGCTCAGGAATTTTCAGACTTTATAAATTAAAAAGCAAATCTTCTAAATTCCTAATTGATAATGGGCTAAAATTTCTGAGAAAAGATAAACACAGTCAGATTGCCACTCTGCTCCTACTTTTTTTCCCATTAAGGCAGAGCTCTGCATAGTTTGTTTATCCATTCCTGGGATGCAGGCATCTCTGGTTGGGCCAGCATTTATTGCCTATCCCTAGCTGCCCTTGAGCAAGTGGTGGTGAGCTGCCTGAGCTTTCTGCAGGATTTTCAATCACAGTTCCTTCAGAAATAGACTTGAAATCTAACAGCTGCCTTGCAAGCAGGATAGCTGGGGAAATCAAACTCTGCCCCTTTTTTCATGCCAGTAGTTGCTGTATTCTGTGATTTAAATGTCCAGAAGCATGGACAACCACTGTGACAGTTCCTGTGAAATGGTAAATATCTAAAGTAAGTCTGGGGTTAGGTTGCCAGGACACAAGGTGGGCAGAGAGCCAGGTAAATAATGGAGTGTTTAGATAAATCAGGGTGAGTGGGGTGTATCTGATCCAATGAGAAGAAGGGATGTTGTGTCTGCCAACGAACAGGTGAGTTGTTGGGCCCATCAAAGGGGGGAGCTGTTGGATCTCTGGGATAGAGAGGAGTTGCTGTGCCTGGCTAGGGATGGTGGGGGCTGGGTGCTTCAGAGAAAAAGGCTGTTGGATCTTAGGTAAAGGGGTAAGGTGTTGGGCCCAGCAGTGGCACGGGTGGGGTTCATGGTCAGATGAGTAGGAAAGGGGGTGGTTGTCATGGGGTGGGGTAGAATTTTTGAGATTGAGGCCAACAGTGAGTTGGGGGATTAGTTTAATAGTCACCCAGGAATTAGATTGGCTATAAATTGTCTAACATCTCCTGGGTAGATATTAACTACAGCTGAGCCCTTCACGTTTCCAGTTTAAATGGATACCTTTGGAGGATTTCTGGCACAGGGGAACTGCTCATTGGAATCTTCAATTTCCTACACAATACTCTCAAAGGTTGCTTCATCAGAGAGTCCATATCGTCCTGATGCGAAACTCCCATCTATGCTGCTGGAACATCTGTTTGGCCATTGGAATATCTGGCCAATTTTTTTATTAACTGATTTCTGACAAAGCTTACACACAGAAGAGAGCAAGTGTGGTTGGTCAGAAGCTACTTCTAAAAGTCATTGATGTAAGAGATAATGCATTAAGATTAAGTTGCAAGTGAAATGATTACAAATGTGATGAATGGAGTGATAGAAAGCCATTAAAGCATTGTGTTGGAAATATGCATCGGCCTAGCATACGTTCTAGAGGGGATAGGAATCTCCTTCTAAATCACATTCAGCTTGCTACTGCTGCTGTCTGAAATGCCTGGCACAAGTGCCCTCTAGAGCTTTAAAGAAATGTATGTGGCATCTTACCCATTGTAGTCACCCTGCAAACAAAAAAGTTTTCTCTACATCTATTCTACCAATATATTGCAAAATTCAAAAACATTCATGAAATTGCACCTTAATGATTGATACTCTAGGGAACACTCACCTAGCATATGCAATCTTGTCTCATAATTTTACCCCTTGGGAATACCGGTAACAATCTGGTGAATCAGAGTTACTGCGCCCAGAACAGTAGTTTGATGGCCCCATTGTGGTCTAACCAAGGCTTTGTACAGCTGCCTTAAAACTTCCATCCCTTGTATTCTAGCCGCAGTTAATAAAGGCTTGCATTTCTTCAGTATTTATAATTTTTATCATGCCTGACAACCAAATTTAGTAATGTGTACCTGGACTCTTTCTATTTTGGTTGAACAGTCATTGTTGCAAGATATACTCAGTTGGTTGAATGGCTGGTTTTTGATTCGCAGTGATGCCAACAGAAAGGTTCAATTCCTGTACTAGCTGAGGTTGCCATGAAGGTGCCACCTTCTCAATCTCGCCACTTGATTGACCCTCAAGTTAAATTCACCACCAGCCATTTCTGTCTTATGAGAGAGCAGCCCTTTACTTCTCTGGGACTATGGCAACTTTATCTTTTACCTTTAATCTAATCAAGTCAATAATTTATTTTCAATTTCATTAATTTTAATTTCACCTCATAGCGTCTGAGATGAAACCTTATCAGATGTCTTTGGCAATTTATATAAACCCGATTCTTAGACATTTCCATGTATACTACTTCAATTACTTTTCCAAAAATTCAATTAAGTATGATCTGCCCTTTACAAATCCATATTGGCTGTCTTTAGGCAGCTCAGATTTCTGTAATTTCTCAGTCAATCTGTCCCTAATTATAGATTCCAGTCATTTCCCCACAGTACTTGTAAGATTAACAGGTTCAGAATTTCCTTGTTTCCCTCTCTTTCAATATTCTTAAACAATGGAGTTACAGTTGCAGTTTTGCAATCTAAAGAGACACTTCCTTAACTGAGACTGGTACAAAAGCTTATGATAAAGCATCTGTAATTTATTCACATTCTTTAGAACATCAGTGGAAGCTATCAGGTCCTGAGAATTTGTCAGCATTTTTTACCATTATTTTTGTTTCAATGCTGCTTTGTTGCTTACACTAATTTGAGTGAACTGCTGACCCAAATCTCCTTTGATCTAAGAATAATCTGACTTCTTTGTGCACTGTGTGATTGATCTATATTGATGCATTGTGGAAGGAATTTTTCTCCAGGTTAAATAAATTATTTATCAAAATGCAGTGTCAAAAATTTTTAACTTGTGCAATTCTCTCAGCTGATCGCATCTCCACGTCCACGAGATGCTTGAGTCACCTATCACGTCCTCTCTGAGGGTACCACAAGGGAGCAGATGCATGGACAGTCAACAAAGCTGTTGTTATATTTAAGCCAATTTTAACTCCCTCTTGAAATGATGTTAGGAACGTTGTGACTGGCAATTTTTCTTCCATGTGGGGATAGCCTGTGGAATATATGTTCATCAGTGGAGTGTGAAGACCGAGAGGAGGTTGGGCTAGGAAACTGAGAATCTTTAATAAACTGAAGGTCAGAGTGAGACAGTCTGAACAATCTCATTGCAGATATTTGGTGATAAGGATGCTGATGGGTTTTACCGTGGAGAAGCCATTGGGCAGACTGGTTATGTGCCATGCAACATGGTCTCCGAAATCCAGGTGGATGATGATGGAATAATGGAGCAGCTATTACAGAGAGGTTACCTGGCTCCCAGTATGTCCATGGAGAAGCTGGGTGAGTGGTGCATTGAACAGATATCACTGTTTGTAACTATTGCATTCTGTTTTCAGGTAGAATGTATTTAAGATATAATGTCACATATTGAGCAATTAGCTAAGCCACCAGTTCACATGCTTGGGCATTTTCAATATTTTTTTCTAATGCTGCAAAAGAACTACTAACAGGAGTTAGAAACAAGTCAACTTTGGCCTGGAAAGCAGGGAAGCTGATTGAAACTGGTTGCACTAAAGAATGAAGCAACATTTGTTTGGTTAAGTGTGGAGGAGGCAAATTTTGACACAGTTTGGAACAGGGAAGGCATTTGTATGTGTCTCTTAAGAAATAGTAGTCATGAGTAAATTTACCAAGCGTTCGTAGCTGAGTATGCCAGTGCTGAAATCCATCACAGCACATCATCTACTGCTGCTTTCAAATCACTAATGGTAACGTATGTTGGACAGATGGCAATAGGCAAATTGAAAATGGAATTTTCCTGGCTCCCAAGCTTAAAACCTGGTGCCAACATGCCTTAAATTCAGGTCTTATGTGGCCTTACGTTATCAGACCCTTTGGCCAGCTGTGGGTGCTGGTATTTGTCAGATTATATTCAACGGCACTGTCATGCAATCCAATATTGCTGCTTTAGTATGGGGATGTCCGAGATCTAGAAAAACCAAAACCTGAGTTAACAGTGGCTCAATAAATGACTGCTTGCAGTAACAGATGCTCACCTTGAATGTGCTAATCTGTGTAGATAAAGGGAGAACTTGACATCAGTACATTGTATGTATGTGTGTGTGTGTGTGTGTGTGTGTATGAGATGCACATGGCTTGGTCTGGAGTTCCCTATCTGAGCTGACTTGAGGCCCGTCAGGTCCCAGCTAGAAATGCTGTAATTATTTTCACCCTTCACGAGAATCTTGTTCTGGAGCTTAAGAGCTGTGTTCTACTTTGCAGTGAGCTTGACAGCTTCAGAGATGTAACCTCTTGCAACCTTATCACGGATTAATGACCACTTTTCTGCAGTACGCACACTAATGAAAGAAAAGTGGGGTTGAACCTGACCAGGGCCAGTCAAAGCTGATGTTGGCAGCCATATCTGGGTTCTGGTTAAAGTCGTGAATGAATTAGCTGGCATTGCATGGTCACTGAAATTACTTTCTATGCTTTTGAAAACTAGAACAATAAATTGAAGGCTTTTCAAATACGCTCCTTCCTCAGTTTCCCAGGTCAGTTGTGTCAGTGTACATATCGTTGAGACATGCAGTACACACTGTATCAGTTAGTGCTTTGGTCCATATGTTAAATGGTATAAATGTGCTGTTGGTGGTGGCACTCTTAACAAGCAGAATTTTTAACATTAGTTAAAGTTGACAATTGCATATAGATGAAAGAATTTGAAGTCCCTGATAGTAGAGTGTAAAGATACAATTACAGTAGGAGGAGGCAGAGATAAGAAGTTACAGGGGCCAGTTTATATTCTGTAGCTTTAGTAGATGTGACTGGAAGGAATAAAGGCGGCGAAGTTAGAATGGGTTGGGGATAAAGGACATCTTAGAGCTAAGGCAAAATGAGTGATTATGATTGGGGTTCAGATACTGGCGTTGCTGCTAATAAAAATTGTCGGAAATCTGAATATTTCAAAGCAACATAATCATGAATGCCTCAACACCGCGAGATACCAAAGCAAATAAAAAAATCGAATTTTATTTGAAAAGATTTTGAATGTGTTCCTTGCACCTTCAGTCATTTGTGGAAGTCCCACTGAGGATTTGGGCAATTCGATACAATATCACATAATGTATGGGGTGGGGAATATATTACGTGTATGGAATATATAAATGCAACACAGTGCTGTTTGGAAAGTGAAACAATTTGAGGTACCAGAGGTGGAGCTTATGGCCCTTGGAATCCCAGTGTTCCACAAATGTCACTGTGCCCTAATTTTTCCTTTGTTTCCACAGGCCTGAATAGTGAGGTAGGTACACAGCAATCTATATTCAAGTAAACTTGATTCAGTCATTGGTAATGGCCCAGTACTGGCCAAACCTTCTGATTTACTAACCTAACATGATTCTGCTCTGTCTGTCTCAGCTTCCTGTGTGCTGCTTTATTTCCTCTTTTTTTTTCTCTCGTCTTTTGCTGTATGAAGGCAGCCACACGCTCTCTCAACCGCCACGCCGCACTGCGCCTCCTCCGAAACCAAGGCGAACCAAAAAAGGTCTGTCTCACTTCATGCTTACCTTTTTGTTGCTTTTTTCCATTGAAAACATCCGTGTCAGTGTTTGACTTGCCGCTTCCCATTCATTGTCTAATATCACAGCACTTAGTGTGTGCAGGTGTATATGGAACAGGACCTGTATTAAAACGAGCATCTAATGAATTAATCCCTGATCTTTCAGTGCAATCCAACAAGTGGGAGGACAGTCGAAAACAAGGTCAGCCTCTTGTTATTTCTTCATAGATAACTAAATTCTGTTCAGGAGTGTCAAAATATCGCATTCATTCCAACGCACGGAGAACTCAATTCAGTGGCATCAGCTTTGTTGTAGAAGTATTGCACTTAATGTTCCCTTTTGATTCGGTTATACAGAGGACACCTGACAGGATGTATGTTTGGAAACTTATGTAGTAATTGTATTGAGCAGTCCTTAGGACTTTTTATGTTTATTTGTATTTTTATACACAATAAGTAACTACAGTGATCCCCATTGACTCATGAGGTTTATTAACAATCCTCTCTGCCAGTCTGAACTGTAATTAAATATCTCAGGCTTGTATTTTTTTTCATTCATGCGATATGGTCATAGCCCGCAGGGCCAGAATTTATTTGCCGTCCCCTTAATTTTCCTTGAGGTGGTGAGCTGCCTTCTAGAATGTCTGGAGTCCATTTGATTTAGGAACTTGACCCAACAACGCTGAAGGAACAGCGATATATCCAAAAATCAGGATGCTGAGTGGTTTGGGGAGAACTTGCAGGTGGTGATGTATCTGCTCTTGTCCCTCTGGATGGTTTAGTATTTGTGAGTTGGAAGTACTGGTGAAGTGGCCTTGGTGAATTTCTGCAGTGCATCTTGTAGATGGTACACAGTGTTGCTATAATGTGCAGTGGTGGAAAGAGAGTATCTTTGTGAATGTGGAATCAGTTAAGCAGGCTGCTTTGTCCTGGATGGTGTCAAGTTTCTTGAATGTTATTGGACTTGCCGTAATCCAGGCAATTGGGGAATATTACATCACAAGCCTGACTTGAGCTTTGTAGATGGGGAAAAGGCTTTGGGGAGTCAGGAGGCAAGTTACTCACTGCAGGATTCTTAGCCTCAGGCCTGCTTTTGTAGCCACAGTATTTATATGGCTGGTACAGTTTAATTTCTTGTTGATGTAGTCCATTTTGATCCTGGACAATTCAACTATGGTGATGTCATTCAATGTGAAGGTACCAGAGTTAGATTCTCTCTTGTTGGAGATGATCATTGCCTGGCACTCATATAGCGTGCATGTTATTCGCTACTTATTAGCCCAAGTCTGAATGTTGTCCAGGGGTGGGAGTCAGGCACTGGGTCTTGGGACTGGGAGATGACAGGTCAAGTAAATGAGGAGAGTCACGGTGATGGAAGTCGAGATGAGGCTTTGGGGATGGCAGTTGAGTTGAGATGCTGGGAAGGTGATGCTGTGGAGTCTGAATGTCCATGAGCAGTTTAGTAGTAGGGAGGGAGGAGTAAATCACGGGTCGGTGTCAGTGTCTAAAGCGTTGGCTGTCCATGAGGGTTTTGGGAAGGTGCAGTCAATTTTATAGTTGACCAGAATCCACAGCAGGTTTTAATTCCTTTACTTTTTCCTGGTTAACTGTTCAGGCAAATTACTATGAATTCTCCAAAGTCTCTGGTCTTAACTCAGAATTACGGACTTTTTCAGAGAGTTCTATACACCAGGTTGGATATCCCACGCAGTTTCTGCAGAGTCAGCAGCGTTGGAATGTCCAATTGGTCCTGATGTGCAATTCTAGTCATTGTTACTAAAATGACTATTTTCCTATCACAAAATCTGGGTTTCTATTTATTTTGTTTGTTCAATGGTTAGAAACCAATGAAATGCAATGACAGTGAGTTCACCCTCCTTGCCATATAACATGCTTCTTGTCATATACTTTATTTTATAAATTAGCAATGTAGGAGGTAGAACAAACCCACTCTAGAAAACGTGCATTTTCCCTAAGGAAGGTCAAAAAAACTCTCATTCAAAGCAAATAATCAATATAAACGTTATAACATTGCAGTGCATTCTCAGTGAGGAATTTATGAATTACTTTCTATATAGTATACACTTTTAAAGTAGAAAGTTACAATGAATCATTTCTCCTTGTTTAATTTACATTTTTATGTTTTCTACAATTCCACCATATTTTAAATCTACCCTTTAAGATGTTCACCACTAGTGTCCCTTTCTTTTGCAGAGCGGAGTCGACCTGGCAGTGGACAGCAGAAATTGCCTATGAGAAGAATGGTGGCTGTCTTTGACTATGATCCCAGGGAAAGTTCTCCTAATGTGGATATTGAGGTGTGTTGCATCTGATCAGCTCTCTATATTGTTGGCAGCTGGTTAACATTAATCCAAGTCAACACCTTAAGTCCATCACAACAATAATGGCCTCTTTTCCTCCCAGCTCCAAATTTAATTTAGTTCTGTCCAACTCACAGAGTAAGACTCCATGTGGTGTTCTATGTAATATTCAATACATATGTGAAACAAAACATTGTAGACATAAAAATAGATGACATAATCAACAGAATTACAAAATTCTGCTAAAGACTCAGGGTGCATGTTAATTCAGTAATCTTTGCCTAATGAGCTCCAGGTTGTAATTGTCTGTTAAAGAATGAATGAACAGAGGTTATTTCTCTGTGAAAAATTGTCTGGGGTCTTTGTGTGTATCTTCATGGCCATTTATATTTTCATTTGGTGACCTTGGAACATAGGTACACAAATGTCAAAAAATGTCTCTTCACAATTAACACAACTCTGTTAGCGTCATTGCCCCACAAGTTGTTTCCATTTTTATTTCTAACACCCGCAGTCTACTGCACCACACTGTAACCTATATTTCGCTGCAGTTATCCCAAATGAACTTAAGTATGAGTGTTCCTAATGTGACATTCTCAGGGATAGATATGTGGTCTTCATTTGTGCCTGAAAGTAGCTTTGAGGTACCACAAATCATTTCAGTTTGGGTCTCCTGTGGTGACATTTATTGCTTCCTGAGAAGTTTTAAAGTGAGTGATAAATGATTGTCACAAAATGTAACAATATTGAATATATATTGAAAATATATTTTCTTTGCCCCTATTATGATCCATTGGTGCTGTCTACTGAAAATTATATTTTGGTGTGTAGTACTTCCGCTTCTAAATGTGGATGTTTTGGCTGTTGTCCTGGCTGGGGCTTGTTTTTAAAGAGGTGCGGGTAAGGATAGGTGGGATAGAGGTGGAGTGACTATTACTGACCCCCTCCCAACCCCCACAGAAGGAAAATCACTTGTTAGCCTATACATCAGGAATAAGTCTGCCTTGTAGTTTTACGACTCTGTAGCCAGGCTCAAGCGGGTGAGAATGGGTCTTCTGCCTCCCAGCGAAGCCCCTCTGGCAGTCCCAGATCCCACAGTGGCCACTGCCTGGCCTGCAAGCACAGTAGATCACTGCTTGAGCAGTTCAGCCTCAGGCTTTCATATCGTAAAGGGATCTGAGAGCTGGCCAAAATTGCTCCCTAAGCCAGCAAACTTAGTCAACAAAAACTGATTAATGGCTCCAAACAAAATACCGCAGATGCTGGAAATCTGAAATCACAACAGAAAGTCCTGGAGAAACTCAGCAGATCTGGCAGTGTAGATGCTGCTGGAATGTGCTGAGTTTCTCCAGCACTTTCTGTTTTTATGAAATTAACTTGTTACCCCTCATACAAAAACAAGTGAAACTGATGTATAATGTTTCCAGCCTCTTGACAAAGGATATTACACAGTGATATATGACACCAAGCCACATAAGGCCATGTAAGATTGATCAAAGGGGTGGCTTTAGAGAGTAATTTAAAATAGGAGCAGGAGTAGGCCATTCAGCCCTTCATTTAATAAGGAGCACATCAGAGGTTTTGTGAAAAATGTGGCGTAGGGAGTAGCATATTGGCATGGATAGAAGATTAGTTGTCTAACAGGAAGCTAAATAGGTGTAAATGGGATAACACAGTGTGGGGCTGGAGGAACACAGCAGGCCAGGCAGCATCAGAGGAGCAGGAAAGCTGATGTTTCGGGTTGGGACCCTTCTTCAGAAAATGTAAATGAAAATGTAAATGTAAATAAGTGTAAATGGGCATTTTTTTACGTTGGCAAAATGTAAAAAGTGGTGTGCCACAGAGATTTTTGTCGGGACTTCAATTGTTTGTAGCTATTTTCCCATCAACCTGTTCAGAGATTTTATTTTGCATCTCTGGAGCAGATGAAACTTGAAACTTTGGTCTCCTGGCTCAGAGGTAGGAACCAATTTATATCAATTATTTGGATGAAGAGACGGAAAGTATTTACTGCTCACTCAAGGATAAGTAGAAAAGTAATCTGTAAAGATGACACAAAGGGATTACAAAATTATAATGATCAATTAAGTGAATGGGCAAAGACATGGCAAATGAAGTATAATTGGTAAAATATGAGTTTGTCCCAGTTGGCTGTAAGAATAAAAAAGAAACACTTTATCTACATGGTGTGAGTTTGCACAGCTGTAACATGCAGAAGTGTGAGTGCCCTCATGTGTGAATCCTAAAAAGTTAGCTTTTCCAATTACTTGCATTCTAACAGAATGGTAGCATTTATTACAAGGGGAATTGAATGTCAAGGTAGGGAAGTTATGTAGGGCACAGTGAGACTGCATGTGGAGTGCTGTGCACAATATTAATCACTTTATTTAAGGGAGGATGTAAATGCTTTGGATGCAGTTCAGAGAAAGATCTCTAAACTGGAATAGCCAGGTTGTCTTATGAGGGATAGTTAAACAGACTGGGCTTATATGCGTTGGGGTTTAGAAGAGTAAGAGTTGACTTGATTGAAACAAATTAGATTCTATGAGATTCTAGAACGAGGAGTCACTATTCAAACATCAGGAGTCACCCATTTAAAAGACTTAGAAGTTCCGAAGGCTCATAGCCGACAGAGCCATGAGTTTTTAAAACTGTGCTTTCATCATCTTTTTAGGAAGAGAATCCTTGAATATTTTTTAAGACAGAAGTGCATTGATTCTTGTTAAGGAGATGAAAGGATATCAGTGGGATTGTGGATTTGAGGTTTCAATCAAATCAGCCATGGTCTTATTAAAAGTCAGGGCAGGCTTGACTACTCCCGCTCCTAATTCATATATTTATAAGCCTGCTTGGCCCTTGAGTAAGATTGTAGCTGATCTGATCGTGGCCTGAATTTCATTTTGCTACCTGCCCCACATAACCTTGGACTTCCTTGTTGTTGCTAAAATCTGCCAACCTTGAATACATTCAATGACCCAATCTCTGTACTCTTTAGAGATAGAGCAAGCCAAAGATAAATACCCTCTCAGAGAATAAATTCCTCCATTTCAATCTCAAGATCCCTCATTCTGAAACCGTGCCCCCAGTTCTAGAATCTCCCACAAGGGGAAGCTTCTTCTCAGCCTTTGCTGTCAGGCACCCACAGAACCTTTTATGTTTTAATAAGATCACCCCTTATTCCAACTGCAATGTATATCAGTCCAATTTGTTCAACCTTCCCTTATAAGACAGCACCTTCATCCCATGAGTCAACCTAGTGAACTGTCCCTGATTAGCTTCTAATGTACATGTAGTCATCCTAAAATAAGAAAACAAAAACTGAATTCAGTACTCTCGATGTGGCCCCAGCATGACCCTGTATTGCTGTAACAGGACTTTTATGTTCCATCCCTCTTGCAGTAAAGGCTAATGTACTCACTACACCTGCACATTCATTTTTTGTAGTTCATTTATGAATACATGCAAATCACTTTGTACTGTACCAATTTGTTTCTCTTCACTTCAATAATATTCTGTTTTTCTATATCTTCTAACAAATGAATAGCCTCACATTTTCTTGCATTATTTTCTATCTGCCAAATTTTAGTCCATTTACTTAACCTATCAATAACACTTTGCAACTCTTTATGAGCTATTCTTGCATCATCAACAGATTTGTCTGTAAAACACTTTGTCCCATCCAGCACATTAATATGGGTTATGATATTGATGGCCCAGCATTGATCCCCATGATCTTCCACTAGTTGCAGTATGTTATCCTGAAAATGTCAAATTTATTCTGAATCTGTTTCTTTTTGATTAGCTAATCCTCTATCCTACTGGTATATGACTCTCAACACTATCAACGTTTATCTTGTGTAGTTGCCTTTTATGTGGTATCATATCAAATGTCTTTTGGAAATCTAAGTAAGTACACTAGATCTGCCTGTTCCTCTTTAGCCTCCCAGTTTGTTACATCATCAAAGAACTCTCATAAATTTGTCAAATATGATTTACCTTTCATGTTGACTCTGCTTGTTGCATTGTGACTTTTTGAATGTTCCACTGTTATTCCTTAATTGTGGATTCCAGTCAGTGGTGGCCAAATCCTAAATTGAATCTGTGCTTTTTTTTTATGTTACAGGCTGAGCTGACATTTAGTGCTGGTGACATCATTACTGTTTACGGGGACATGGATGAGGACGGTTTTTATTATGTAAGCCTGTGCAGATGTCTCAAGCAATATGTTAGCTGTTTAGACTTGTCAGTTCAAAGAAGTCAGCCCCAAACTCTCATTTATGCTACCGATACAGCGATGCACACTTTCTGTGCTAAGTAGCTTGCCTTCCTGGACCAAAGCCTTTGCCACCTACAAGCCTAATGTCAGGAATCCGATGGAATCTTCGCCACTTGTCTGGAAGTGTGCAGCTCCAAAACCAAAACACTCACGAACCTCAACACCATTCAGGCCAAAGCAGTTTGCTAGTTTGGCACCTCACCCACCATCTTAAACATTCCACTTCCTCCAACATCAGTGTACTCTGTATAAATTATACATAATATATCTAATGTGTTGCAGCAACTTTCCAAGACTACTTCAACAATAGTTTTCAAATCTGCAACTTCTACCACCCGGAAGAACAGGGCAACTGTTGCATGGAAACACTTACCCTCCAAGCCATATTACTTCCTGACTTTGAAATATGTCATTACTCCTATATGCCTTTGATCAAAATCCTGGAAATCCCTGTCTAATGAAACTTTGGGTATTTCAACATAGACTGTAGCAGTTTCATGCAAAACAGAATTCTACTTATCTATAGAATCCCTGCAGTGTGGTAGCAGACCATTCAGCCCATTGAATCCACACCAAACCTCCAAAGAGCACCCCATTCAGACCCACACCCCACCCCCATAACCCTGCATTTCCCATAGCTAGCCCACCTAGCCTGCACATCCCTGGACACAATGGGCAATTTAGCATGGCCAATCCACCTAACCTACACATCTTTGGACTATGGAAGGAAATCCACACAGACATGGGGAGAATGTGCAAACTCCAGGTTGACAGTTGTCCATGGGTGAAATCACACCAGGGTCCCTGGTGCAGTGAAGTAGCAGTACTACTTCACTGAGCCACCATGCCTTGAGCATATGCATTTGTTACTCACAATGTGCTCTCCACTATGCTGGGGAGACCATACACCCATTTAGTCACTTCTGGTCAATCTGCAAGTATGACCCTGAACTTCTTGTCCCAATCATTTTAATTCCCCACCTTTCTCCTACATGATCTATCCATTCCTGGTCTGGTGCAGTTTTCTAGTGAAACTCAATGCATGCTTAAGGGACAGCACCTAATCTTTTAACTCAGCATTCTATAGGCCTCTGTACTTGACAATGAGTTGAACAATTTTAAATCATAAACTCCATTTTCTCAAACTTTTTTTTGCTGGTTTAGTTTTTCAAATTTCTTTCTTAATTTAGCCAGATATTCAAATGTCTGATAGCCAGCCATTCATCCCTTGCATGGGTAAATCTTCTGTTGCCTTGCCTATTTCTTTGGTTTTTGTGCCATGAATCTTTATTACTTAAGCTCTCCTGCCTCTCAGACTTAGCACAGACCTTTCCTGGATCTTTTCATTTGCTCGTAAACTATTATTTGATGAAAGATCATCAACATGAAGTGTTCATTTTGTTTCTATCCACCAATATTGCCTGTTCTGCTAAGCGTTACCAGCATTTAATTTTACTTGTTAATGAAGGTTTTTCTGGTCAAATAAACAGGAAATGTTCCCTGGGACCTGAGTCCTGTTTGATATTTGAAACAGTCGGACTAATAGTGTCAACCTATTTTGGGAAAGGGATGTTCAAAGCAATTTTAAAGGCTTGCGGTTGTCTTGGACTGGTAGCACGCCATTAGCAGAACCTTACAGGCTGTGTAAGGCATTTTCATCCCTGACCCCCTCGCTCAAGTTGCTGATACTGACGTTAGGTTTGAACTAATCCAACAGCAAGCAGCGCTAAAAGGAACCTTTTCGAAAACACCAGGACTGCAACAATGTAAAACATACTGGGCTGCCAAGACTTGAGGGGTTTATTAGATTGGTTGTTGTACTCCTAAGTTTCCCCTCCTACACGGATATTTGAATCTTGTCTCCACTCAGGTGACATGATTAATATAGTTGGCTGAGCAGTATGTAACAGGTTTCTGTGTTGTCTCCTTCTAGGGTGACCTAAATGGACTACATGGGCTTGCACCATCCAACTTCCTGGAGGTGATAGCTGGGGGGGAGACAGTGGAACCAGCTGCTGGGCATATCACGTCGAGACTTCCTCCAACTGTAACACACAAAGAAAAACAGGTAAACGCAGCACATCCTGTATTACGTAAAAAAACAAATGATGTACTCCTATTGTGAAATATTGGACGCAATATGTAACATTACTAATGGTCTCTGCACAAAGGAATTCAAGACCAAGGCTAATTCAAAGATGGAGGAGGGTTAACAGCTCAAAGATAGTTGAAGCAAAGTATGCAAGGGAGGAGGGATCAATTGGGAAGAGGAAGTGAGGCAGGACAGAAAATCAGGAGAGGGATCATTTCAATCAGTGAGGGTTATAGATGGACTTCCATTTGGCAAATTTGCATTGTGTCTCTCCCTAAAGAAGACAGTAACTTTGGCTCTGGTTTCATATCTATTTGTAGCTGAGTCCCTTTTAAGTGGATGTGTTATCTAACCCTTCAGTCTTTTCCAAGTTGAGCTTTTGATGCATTTTTTTAGGGTGGATAACACTTCCTTATATGTATTAAAATCTTTTGAGGATTTCTTTTATTATAGACCTTTTCTTTGATTATAGACCTTTTCTTTGATAACTTGTATTTTACCTTATGTGATTCTTGCAGTGAGTTTTTTTATTACTTTTGCACTAGGTGGCTGTGTTACGTCAAACCTCTTAATGTTATTTCAATATTATCAAGTGCAACACTTTTGGAAAGTTATTGTCTTACTGCATTTAAATTATTCATATGTTGTTTCCTCTCAATCCATAGTTTTTAGTTGTCATGTTAACCTTTTTTTGGAGAATGGTGAATTTCAAGGTTTTAGCCCAAGAATTCTACAGTTCAGCCCTTTCATGAAATGTTCAAACTCTGCAATTATTCATTTTATTCACTTCAGATGATGAGCTGGCTGGGTTCTATTGGACATAATGATCCATGCTTGAGCAGTAGTCAGGCCTGATTGGAGCAGCTCGTTCTTATAAAGTTCTTTTGTTCATTTACTCTCTTGTTTTAGCTGTTTCACTTTCTTTTGTTGTAATATTTCTGTTTCTCTACCTTTTTCTATGGCTACAGAGGAAGACTGTTCATTTCAAGCGGTAATTAGCATCCGGGAAGCTTTGTAAGTTTATGTTGCTGAAGATACTGCTGCAGCTTTCAGGCACTATCCTTGCATTGCAGCATGCACACCAGAAGGAGCTGCATTTCTGTGGCAAGCACAGCACTGGTGCAAAGAACAGAGTTAGAGGAAACATCCACAGCCTTGGGAAATTCTTCTAAATAGTACAATATTTTCTATATCTCAGTCAAATTTTAACAATACCTATCTGTCCTTCCTGTCCTACTAGCACTTCAGGGTAATGTAACCATTCAATAGGCTGCCCATCATCTGCATTTTGATTCCTCTTGGCCATCAATGCATTGATCTAAGCTGTTGTGCTAAAAGAAAAGAATTAAGTCAAAGTCAGAATTCTTCCTCATAGACTGAGAGAGTATTTCATTCAGAGGCACACCTGAAACCATAAGTATCAAAGAGATTGAGAGTGACACAGGTGAACTCTGAGGGCTGAATTGTTGTGAATTCAGAAACGTTTGTGCCTCAGCCAAAGGGTGCCGGAACCCAGACTCCAGAATTCCCAGCCACAACACCGGAACTCTCATATTTTTGCTGGGTTATTGGGAGTGAGGGGTTGGGTGGGGTCATTGGTAGAAATGGGATAGAAGATATTTCACACATCGACAGTTCGGAGAGACAGTAGTTCTTCTAAAACTGTGGCTGCCTGCAAACAGAAGCAATTTTGCTCATCCAGATTTCTGAAACAAAACATTTGGGGCAAGTGTCTAAACCTACTGGAGTTCTGTGATAAGGTCAGATAACTCTTTGGGAGTACACAGCTTCCCTTTTGGGAGAGGACCCATTCTTCTTTGGGATTGGAAAGATTAGATATCAGTATACATATGTGGATAAGGTCTTTGGAACTTTCAAGCTGTTAAATTATTTAAATATCCTGCCCTTTAAATTCTGGAAAAATCATACAGCCATAAATTGACACTAAGTTGGCAGGCTGGGAATAAAGCACTAAAGGAAAGATTGGACGTCTTCAATTGGCTCTAAGTTGACATCAAGATAATAAGAGATTATAGTGACGAATGGGAAGTCATGACTTGGCACTGAGTTAACATGTGGGTATTAGAGGCCATGGGTGGATAGGGGTTAGTGGTGGATAGAGGGGCATAGCTTGGCATGGAGAGTATGAGGAACCATGGTCATGTGCATAGGTTGGCCTGGAGGATATGAGAGGCCATAAGGCTGGGTGGATCGCATAAGTTAATACGGATGATGCCTTGAGCATGTGTGGGGTTTGTGAAGGCTTGTGGGCTGTTTTTCGTTTTATTGGTTGTTTCAAGATGGATTTGAAATGCCAGAGCACTGAGACATGCCTTTAAAAAAGGTCACACTGGCACAATGCGATGTCTCTAAATGATTTCCTGTGATGGCAGGCCTGTCCCTAATTAATGCATAGCCCCCATCCCCCCGGAATGAAAATCAGACCATTCAAAGTACTTTCTCTCATGTCTGACTCAACTCCCCTGCAGGAATGAAAATTCAGCCCAGAGAGTATATTGAGCAGCTTTATTAACAATGACATTTTGCAAACATAAACCAAAAAGGAAATGATTAGGAAATTTGTGATAGAGATCCAATAAATCGGTATTGGTAAATATGTGACTACAAGGATACTTAGTTGACTAGTTAAGTAAGCTATTTGAGATATAATCAGATTTTCAATGTGCTCAGATTCCTACATTTTCAGAAATTAGCTTAAATTCATAGGGTAATTAAGATGTGTTTGGATAGCCAGTGATGTCGAGGGATGGAGCAGCGAGCTCTGGCGTGAGTTACTGCAGCTTCAGTTTCCAATCCCAGTAATTTCCTAATCTGCTCTGCTCCACTGCACAGCACAAACTAGAGATTAATCTGGTGCTGCTTGGCAGATGCATAATCTTAATGTGAGAGCTCTGTAGCTCTCAAAGCCGATCATGAATGAGCCTAAGTCGAAGATTCCTCAACATCAGACCATTCCTAGAACAAACAGCAACTGCAAAATTGCAGAATTCGGTCAAAAATTTGGGATTTTCTATGATTCACAAGAAAAATATTTAAATGTAATAAAATCTCTCACACCAGATTAAGGGTAAGACTTGGCAGGTTTGCCTGTATTATGCTCTTTTGACTCTGTCCTTTGAACCGGCTGCAAATGTGGGACTTCATGTGTGCACTTCACCTGCAGTAATGCTAGATACCAGTAACTGGATCATACAAGTGCTTGGCTGTATCATTCACACTCGGGTTAGTTACAGTAGGACGTGTCACCCTTAATACAAAAGTAAGATACTGCGGATGAGGGCATCTGAAATAAAAACAGAAAATGCTGGGAACATTTTGATCACTGACAAGAGGTCATCAGCCTGAAATGGATTCAGTCTGACAAGCTGTGTACTTTTTTTTTTGCATTTTCTATTTTTACTTCTCACCCTTCAGTCAGTTCTAGCTAGATTTCTCACTCCTATTTGCTGGTTCCTTCCGGATTGCTATCAGTCCTGACATTGCTTCTGATATTTTACTGACTAAAGAGGCAGGTTTGCAGTTTCCAATAGCATCAATGATTCGGAAGTGGAAACAGTTGAAGTTAATTCAAATTAATGTTTCGATGGTATATGACTTCAACTTCACAATGTTAATGGAATGTAACAGGTAAGGGAGTAATCCAGTGCATGAAATCAGCTTTCAAACCTGGCTTACAATTATGTTTTCTTCTTTACTGGTGAATCACTAGGAGAATTAAAAGGGGAGATGTTGGCTGATGAGGGTGAGATGGCTATATTGCAGAGTAGCTAGAGTGTGAGGTACAGAAGATCTGACAGCAGAGGTATCTTCAGTAGCGTAAGTTGCTGACAGCATTATATGATTATTGCTGATAGGAGATTTATTAACCTGGGTCATGGCTAATAACAGCCTCTCACTTGCTTTGCATGATCCTGTTGTGACTGGCTAACACTGTACAGCCATTGCTTTTTGGATAATTTGCAGCATTACGTGGCTACACTGTCTTACAGTCTTCAAGGTCCGTGATAAAAATGCTGTGTTTGTGGTTCAGGTTCGCAAGTATTACAGATGTGTAAACTCGAACAGTGTCTATCCAGAATCAAAAGTTATCACAGAATTCACAGTGTTTCCTGCTCTCTTGATACGTGGAGCAGGAAATTATTAGAAGACCAAGGTTCGCCCTACTCCATTCTGGTATTCACATGATGCATTGGTGATGGAGTTATTGACTATTTATAACAATGAATCTCTTACCATCTGAGATGAGCTGTGCCAATCAGTTGATTGTCTATTTTGAGATAACAGTGCACTATGTTAGTTGATGCCTAGTACTTCTGATCAGCTCTTCTTTGGGCAACACTAGTTTCGTGTCTATCTGTTCTTTATTGGACAAGGTATGAGACAGAACTACCCCATTTCTCATCTTGTCTCCCATTTTCCCCACTCTTTGCCCTCTTTGAGAGAGTGACAGAAGGTAAAGTGCAGAAAAGTGAAATTGTTGTGTAAGAAATGTACAATTCCCATTGTATTCAGATTAATAGAAGCAAATAAATTCAATTACCCTGTACCTTCAGCAGGGGCAGCTTTTGATATGTGTTATCCCTTTTAATCTCAATTAATTAATCTGAGCCAATTTCTTTTGTGTGCTTGCATGCTTGTGTCTCAGTTGTGTACATTACATTGATGCAAAACAGTTTCTTCTGCACAGAGACAGAAAGCAACCAACAGAGTAAATCAGATAGCGAGCAAGACCAACATAGAAGAGAGGCAGTTTCACATTAAAAGCTAATGTGCTTCCACTCTGCAACAATTAATGTGAGAATTTCTTTTTAAGTAGTTAACAAAAATCAAAGCAATTAATTTTAAAATGTAAGTATTCTTAAATTAAAATTTTTGGGTTGGTTGCATAAAACAAATACTAAATCAGCATTAAGTGTTTTTCAAGTCTTCATTTTTTAATTGCTGGCCAATTTTCACACTTAGAGTAGTGCATGCAGCTTCAATCCCCTTACCCTTACCTGGAGAACTATGTGTGGTTTTGGGCTTTTTATCTTAAGAAGGATATTATATAGGAAGTGCAATGAAGGTTCAGCAGACTGGTCACTAGGATGGTAGGACTTTCCTGAGAAGGAAAATTCAGTCTGTATTCTCTGGAGTTTCGAAGAATGAGAGCTGATCTCATTGAAACCTACAAAATACTTAAAGGGATAGACAGGATAGATGCAACTAAGATGTTTCTTCTGGCTGGGAAGCCTAGAATCAGGGCAAGCTATTTAAAAATAAAGGGGGAGCCCCTTAGGAACAAGATGAGTTTTTTATTCAGACACTTGTGAATCTCTGGAATTCTCTGCCCCAGAGGGCTGAGAACGCTCCATAACTATGTCTAAAGTCGAGACTGACAATTTCTTAATACCTATGATGTAAAGTGATATGGAGATAATGTTGGAAAAAGGCATTGAACTGGATGATCATACTGAATGGTAGAACAGGCTGGATGGGGCTGACTGGGGTATTCTTTCACTGATGGTCTTATTTCATAAAGTAAATATCTGAATGCTGGTGGGAATGTGGGGCGAAATACTGAAAGTGAAAAACAGCAATGAAATCCCATGGACCTGTGATTAGATTTGCCATTGTTCTGCTCTGAAACATCATCTTTAAGAGGAAGTTCATTTAAGGTCCCAGCCATTAGCATAAGAAAAGAAAGTAATCTTTCCAGAGACATAAATGACAAGCTAAAGGAGAGTTGTTTTAACAAATTATATTTGTGTGGGAGATATGAGTGAATGTCAGAAGAATTGTTGTTGTTAGCTGACAGAAATGACTCAGAGGAGAGAAATGGAAGAGAACTGATAAGCATCCAATTCTGCCTTTTGATTTTAAGCAGAATGCCAGAATAAAAAAATCAGCCATTTCTGATAATCAGGGTCACTGTGGGGAGATTATGATAGGTGAGGTTACAGGATTTATACAAGACAAAAGCCAATCTTATTAGCTGACAGAGCTCAGTTACTTCCTGGTTCAGGTCGATATGAAAAAACACTTTTCACAGAACAACAGGGAATTCTTCTGATATTTTGATATAATGTCCAGCCTTTCTCACAACTATTACTACATGAAATTCAACTGGTCATTCATCCCATTGTTAGATGATGTTAAGCATAAAATATCAACATTTTGATGTTTCCAGTGCAAGAACACTGGCTATGTTATTGCGAAACATTTCAATACATTTCTGATAAGGGTGATGAATAGTTTGAGCAGAAAAATATCTGACAGAGTTTAAATAGAGATTGAGATAATTGTGCCAAGGTTTACAGAGTTTGAATGCCTGTGGGATAACTAGTTATTGACGTAAGGTCAGAATCAGCCAAGTTTGATGCAATATCATTTGTCTTCAGTTTGAAGTGTCAGTTCAGATTGCAACAAGTGTGTATTGTGGAGTGTGTCTCTTGCTGTCTTCTGTCTGACATCCATAACATTTGTCCTGATTTTCTTCCCTCAGCTGAGCTTGGATGAAGCTGCGGCTGTACAGCCTGTTGTGCAAGAAACCGATTATCCTGCTGTCACAGGATTGTGTTTGGACAATCAGGGATGCAGTGAGAATGTCTCCAATAACAAGAAGAAAAAGGGGTTTTTTTCCAAAGGAAAGAAACTGTTCAAAAGGTTGGGATCCAGTAAAAGAGAGTAACTTAAAAATGGGATCCTATAGTAGCAAGTACTCCTACTTGGGATCCAGTAAAAGAGAGTGACCTGATCTTGGATCTAGTAACGTTGTAACTCTCACCTCGCTTCCAGCAGCAGAGTAACTCCCACCTGGGATCCAGTAATGGAGAGTAACGCCCATTCAACCTCCAGTAACAGGGAGTTACTTCATCTTGAATCCAGTATATCACTTCAGATGGTGCAGGACCTTAGAAATGATTGGAAACTGAGTGGATTTGTTGACATCAAATAGGATCACATCCACTGATGCAGAACCCTGACCACTGCAAAACCTAAAGGTATTTCCACCGTCCCTTTACTGTGATTGAAAGAATGATTGGCCAGAAAATCTAATCTCCCTGCTGAGCTTTAATCCTGTAAAACCGTGAGAAGAGAATGCCTTTTTACAGATGGTAATAATTACAAACCATGAATTTTCACCCAACTGGAAATATCTAGTTTCAGATCACCTCATTTCTTAACTGTTGGAAGACCTGTCACTAATATGGTTCATGCATTGATGCTCCAGTTACTGCTTAAGAGCACAGAGCTGTTCACTTCAAGTAGCTACATGACAATATTGCTTAAGATTTGCAGAGGTATAAATCTCTGCATTTCGTAAACTTCAGTCTCAGACAGGTGGTACCTGACTGATAAGGAAATTGTGATGTGATCACCAGTTTGTTACCCAGTGTTGTCTCACTGGTCCATTCTTTATGGAGTTGCACACTGGTGAGTTCTATTCCCTTGTTATCAGCAGTCACTTTGTGTCTAGAGTTGTAACCATTTACCAAGTCCCAAAATGGCACAGGTGCAGGGCAGGGATTTACAATCAGGGCTGGTGTTCACTGAAATGGTTTTAAAAATGGCTCTATTTCATGAAATATAGAAGTAAATGGAGATATATTATTCCATGACTGATATCAGACTTCTGGAGTCCTGTTTGTATGTTAGAAATTTTCAAACAGACTGTTCAAAGTCTAGACAGTTAGGTGCAAAACTGGAAGATAACGACTTTGCCTGAAATCACAAGTGTGCAAAGTGTCCATATATTTGTGATCTGATCTATTATATTGCTAAAGGTGAGTAATTGGAAAGTTTGTCCTTTGCCTTATTCAAGAAAGACAGCTTAATGGATTTCTAAACAAGAAAAGTGGATTTTCAGATGCCAAGCCACAATACCCTGCCAGTTTTCAGCTGACACCCTCAGATTGTGCACATTTACATTCTGTGCTCCAGGCTCCTGAGCAGCTGTCACACATAAAACAGAAACTTATTTTCATACCTTAAAGAATTGCCATCATGTTTAAATTCTAGCACGCCACTTTGTAATATACAGTCAAGATTTTGTAAAGAAGAGTTTATATGATTGTTTGTGACATTTATAAATATTTTCACCTCTCGTTTTGCATGCATCATTGGGATCAAGTCCGGCTGTGCTTTGCATGGAGGACAGTTATAAACAGGGCCAAGCCCTTACTGTTAAATGCTTTTCCCTTGTTTCTACATAGAAATGTTTTTACTGAAATAAAGTCTATTTTCACAGAAACTGCCTATGCATTTTAGTAATTATTTTAAACCGGTGGGAAGGGAATGCAGGAATAATTATAGAGAGGCTATGGTGGGGTGAGCCAGGCTATGAAGCAGAAATACGGAATGTCAGGAGGGAGGGCCATGGAGAGAAACCATGTGCTAGGTCCTTTTCGTGATTCCTGGCCCCATTGATCTCAGTATGCAACAATATTAAATAATTAAATTTAACTGAGTTTAATCATTCTGTTTGCTCTGGAATTTCAATTCCTAGCACGAAGGAACGTGGCTGTAGTTCTTGAAAGTCAATCATCTCAGCCCATGGATATCATTGAAGGGCTTCCACAAGAATATTGTGGTAGGCTGAACCACCTGCAGCTGTTCCATCAATGACCTGCCCTCAGATATTTGGTGATGCTTGCACAATGTTCAGCAACTCCTCAAATACTGAAGCAGTCCATGTCCGAATACAGCAGGACCTGGACAATATCCAGATTAGGGCTGATAAGTGGCAAATAATATTCATGCTACACAAAAGCCTGACAACAACTACCTCCAGAAAGAGAAAATCCAACCATTTCTGCTCGATGTTCAATGACATTACCATCATTGGATTCTGCGCTATTAACATCCCCGGTTTCCATAGCCAGAAACTAAACTGACCAGCCATACACATACTGTGGCTACAAAAGCATGTTAGAGGTAAGGAATTCTGCTGTGAGTAACTAACTTCCTATGGCTCCAAAGCCTCTCCACTGTCCACAAGGCAAAAGTCAGGAGTGTGACAGAAGGCTCTCAAGTTACCTGGATGGATGTAGTTCCAACAATACTTGAGAAGCTTGACACGATCTGCAACAGAGTGGTCCACTTGATTGACACTCCCTTCACCATTGATGCACAATAATAGCACAATGTACCATCTACGAGATGCACTGCAGCAAGTCACCAAACTTACCTGCACACCTTCCAAACTTGTGACCTCTACCATCTGGCAGGAACGCCCCCACATGTAAATTCCCCTCCCCATCACGCAATATCCTGACTTGGAAATAGATCACCGTTACTTCACTCCAGCTGGGTTAAAATCTTAGAACTCATTTCTTAACAGCACTGAGGCTACCCCTACACCCCCAGGACTTTAGAAATTCAATAAGGCAGCTAACTGCCATTTTCTCGAAAGCAATTAGGGATGGAGCAATAAATGTCAGCTAAGCCAGCAATGCACACATCACATGAATGCATAAAATAAATCTTTGCACACAATACCAAATTGATCATAATGGAATTTACTATGTTATCCTACATATAGACACTGACTATAATGAGGCCATCAAAACACTCTGTACCATATTCATTTTCATGCTCTGCCCAAGAGTCTTTCCAGAAATCGTTTGAACAACTAAAACTTTCACTTCATATCTTTTGACTCAAAGGAAGGTAACTGGTGTTCCATCTGTTGTTTGTAATTTGGAGTCAAGAACAACTCTTCAACACAGAGCTGAGCACCGTGGAATATAAAATGTGGATTACTACATCAGATAAATTATACATGTTATGGAATTCCTGACTAACAGTACCAACACTTCTAAAGGGAATGCACTGCACTTTTATTCATTAAACAATGACCTGGTTTCTGCACTTGGAATCTATCACCTATAAAGTCCTATATACACAAATCACCCATGTGTATAAAAGAACAACAGCTGTCACCTGTCGATCAGCTATTCATTTCCTATTTTTAGTTTTGGGAACAATACCAGAGAGGTCATTCAAAGTTACAGGTTTTGAATAATGAAGTCCATATGATCACAATCAGCAGTTACTGCAAAGAGCTGGGTATTCGGGATCATTAACATGCATATTCCATACTCTGGTGCTGTATGGATGCTACAGCAAGTTGCATTTTATAGGTCTAAGTAGGTGAGGAATTTGAATGGAGAAATGATGAATTAAATATGATCCATTTTTTAAATTCCAAAATTCTTGGTGTATACAAAACAGTTTGTGTAAAGTCCAGAGGAACTGACCAGATTTTAGACTTGCAATTAAATTTTGGCTTCCCAAAACGTCATGTTATGTATCCAGTATTTCACGCCTCCTCCAATTACCAGCATGTCTGTCCCAATTTGTGCCAGACCAGCTCAACCAATCATTTGTGGGTGCTGCATTGATGTTCAGCACCATGGACAATGGAAAGCTGAAATCTCATGTAGGCAGGTCCACGGCTCTGTGGTACTTGACCTCTAATGCCCACTTGTCACTCATGGAGGAAAGAAGCAGGACACAATAGAAAATAAGAGTCCATTTATCAGAAGAATGTAATTAGTGATGCACAGTATTGATCTTTGCATAGAAAAGGACAACGTGAACCTGGACTCCCCTGGAACATGGGCCTTGGTGTTTTGCACTGTGTACAGCACTCCCTCTCCCAGGACTTTGATACTATTCACAATGGGGCAAGACCTTAGGGAATATAGGGACAGTTTGAGAAAGTTCACATGGGAGTACATTGACAATGTTGGGTGAGACTGCAATGAAAGTGAGAATGAAATGATTGGGAAAACAGAGAGCTGGAGTGAAATCAAATGGAGTGCAGTAACAGTGAGGCAAGTCTACAGGAAACCTTATGAATGAGCCCACAGAGAGTAGAGTAATAGGGGACTGAAACTGGAGAATATACAGCATTGGCAAGAATGAAACCAGAAAGCCGCAGTGCAAGTGGGAATGAGACCATTGGTCTATACGCACTGATAGAGGGGTCAGGACCATTGGAACCTTGGAGGCGATCTTCATAGTTGAGAGTTTTGGATAAATAGTGACTGCTCTCAAGGAAAATTTCTGATCCCAGTTTGCTTATGCCAAGCAGAAAACTTGAGCTGGAATGGGCAATTGTGTCAGAAATAGCAACATTTCCAGAGGAGCTTTGAGATCCTAAGCTGCCATTGCTTTGTTTGGGATTCTTCAATGTAACTGTCTGTGGTAATTGTGTCCCTCCCCACAGGGCTGCTAGGGTATTACTATCTCAGCATCTGTCAGGATGGCTCCAGCCAGTTCTCAACCTTTCCCTTATTGAGCTCTGTCCTCTCCTGGCTGTAGGAATTTGCAGGCTTTAGTGAGATTAGTCACTATGTCGTCACTTCAGACCTAATTACACTAGCTGCTTATATGTCACAACTAGTACCAATGTGAACATTGAGTAGCACCACATGGAGTTGGTAAATTATATGAATAGCAAAATTAGTGATAAAAATCCAAATAAAGAGGTGTGAAATTTTGGTCAGATTTTTTAAATGAGGGGCTTTAGGCACAGCATTTGGTTATCCCAATGCTAAAAATTGGCTTTTCTCAATGCATTGATAGTGAAGCATCACAGTTAAGTCACAGAGAGAAGAGATTGAAGCCCTTGTAATTTTAGGTTGGTTGTAGCAGAAGCCTTGGGGAGTTGTGATCTTCGGCCTGTTTATGCGTTATGTGGTCTTTCCAAGTTTCTAACTATGTACTGTCCCAAGTTTATTGAAATGGTTGGGAGTTTGTCCAACCATTAGACAATGTTTATTAGTAATTGTAACTGAAACTTAAAGGCTCTTACACTCTGTCCCTAACTGAGGCAGCTGGGTGAGGTCTGACCAGGCAATGATTTTTATTGATATACCACAGAATTCCCACTTTCTACTTCCTGTCCAGCTATCAACTCGATTATTCCAAACCAGCAAGTGTTTGATCACTTTTAATATTTTTCTTGAAAGAAATGATTGCAATAGAACTTCATTAATCAGAGAAAATTATGCAAAATATTTCTTGGTTGCCATGCAATGTGGGTGGGTGGGAATGAAAGAGACAAAGTGTGTTTGAAACACGGATCTCAGCATGAAGTTCCGGCTCCTTTCCATCCCCAAACAGTGAATGTAAACTCCACAGCACAGCTTTTATCACAATTGAAGCACACCTAGACTTTGTAAACTGGTGAAAATTGAGATATTCAATGTTGATTTTGGACTGCAAAATTCTCAAAGGCAATCAGAGATAGATAATAAATGCTCACATTTTGTGACCGACTTATAAACAATGAAAAAGGTCATTCAGTCTATAAAACTGATCTCATTAATAACAAGAGCACTTAATTCTAATTTCAATGCCTAGGTAATATAGTCATGTTTATTAACAAAGCTAATGGCAGTACATAGTCACAAGATGAAATGATTTTGCTGAGGCTTTACAATACATGATCTGGCCTAGATTTGCCAATTCTCCCAGATTGTCAGGAAATCTTGCTTCACAGCACAATCTACTTACATTGGGATGAAATTTATTTCTGCTCTCTGCACTCACTTGAGTTCTTTTTAAGTTATTGTGACCTGACTTGGTACAGTTCTCCAAGTGAAGTCCAAAAAAGTTTGTCACGGAACAACTTTCTGACACAAATTACATGAGATCTGATTATATATCACTTTCCTGCAGTTTGATTATCTGCTGTACTTGTTCTAATAAAGGTTGAGTTTCTTGCAGTCTTTGTGGTTTTATGCACATAGCTGTGGTGTGAGAAGTTAAATAACCTGTTTTTGGGGATTGGTTATCAATGACACAAATGCCAGTGCAGCTACAATGGGTTGAATAGCCTCTGTCTGCACTGTATGAATTCTGTGACTCTGTGACACAGTTGCCAATTACTTCACATCTCTCGTTGTCTTTGAGAAGGTTGTGGTAAGTCCACATTTTGAACCATTTCAATGAGATGCTCCTACAGTGTTGTTCACTAGGACATCCCAGGATGTTGATCCAGCAACAATTAAGGAATATGACATGTCCACATCAGGTTTGCATGTGACTTAGAGGGAATATTAGGTAATTGATGGTGTACCTTTGTCACTGCTTTTGGAGGTGCTGTTGAATTTCTGTTACTGATTGAGACAAAGTAAATTTATAATTATAAATTGCAAGCAAAAGTTTCCCCCCAGATCATTAGCAGCAGTGCCCAGGAGATTAACATTTCCTTCCAGAACATCCCCTGACAATCTGGGA